CGTAGTCTAAGTGAGGAAAGACATGTGAGGACCTCAGAACTTCACAAGTTTGCCCTTGTGAAATAACAGTAACTTTTCAAATGCATGTAGCCCATGGATCCAGTAAACTTATAACCTCATTAACATCTGTAGCTTAGAAAGCTTTTTTCTTCCAAGGAGATCAGTCAACATAACTACCAGGAGTTACCAAATTCCTACTGAAATTCATGTTCTGTGCTACATGTTGTGGATACAGAGATAAACACAATATTCTCTATGCCCTAAATAAGCTCCCAGCCCAGTATAACGACAGGCACAGACTGTTTAATTCACATTACAGCTGAGAGGCATTTTTTTATTCATAATCGGCAAGTGCACAGGGCCCACTACTCGCACAGAGACCAAGTAGGAGAAACAGAGGTAAATACTAAGCCATGGCCTTGGCCTCAAAGAGCTTACAATTCATTTGAGATAAAACTAAGCTTTAATAAACTTTAACATAGGCTAAACATAAACTCTATTTTGTATAATACATGTAACTCTACACTTAAAAAGAGATACTCCCCAAACTTGAAAAAATGGTTTTCTCAAGTAACAACAGAGTGGGCACCCTTGCAACCCACTAACATCATTTGGACATCATAATCCTTGCCTGGCCCCTTATGTCTAAGAAACACAAATCCTATACAACTCTTTTAAGTATCTGCACAGCAAGCATATACAAAGCACCGGCTGTGTTCCAGGTACCACTGGCAGTTGCTAAGGATTCAAAGATGAACTAAATACTTGTACCTAGAAGAGATGAGCATTTAACAAGACAATTTTAAATGCTCTATGAACTGGTTCTGTGTGCCTACAGGCAGAGATAACCCTGCAGAGGGAGCCAGAGGCCCAGCAGACCAAGGCTGCTGGGCCTCTGTCCCACACTCGCCCTGGGGAGCTGCCGAGGCGGGACGGCCTGTGTGCTGTGACAGACACAATACCAAAAAGATCAGAACAGACACTACAATTAAATTACACGGAACTCAGAGATACATGAACACGAGGATACAACATTTATTATATAAAATTGATTTTAAGCCAAAAATTATATATAACACTCCTGGAACTGGCTCCTCTTACAGAAATCTCATGTTTTTAAATAGAAAAAAAAAATCCTCAAACTACGAAAATCCCCAACACTAGCAGCAAAAATTGGCATAAGCTTAAGGAAGAACAAGTGAACTCCCTCCCACTCCACTGCAGTGTAATTTGAGCTGAGCCAAGTTTTGCAGAGTAAAAATCAAACTAAGCAGGAGAAAGATAAGCCACTGGCCTGGACTTATTACACCATGCCGGGATGAGAGGCACCCCAAATCACAGAGAACTGTTGCATATATGCATATATTTGTATGTGGAATAGATACAAACAAATATATGACGGTACAGTCTACATGACAAACCAACGGTGCACACCAAAGAAATATGACAGAAAACTGAGAAATGCTGGGCGGCAGGATCCCTAAATGCCCCCCACGGACATGATCTCCCCCACGGGAAGTTCTTCATGGTACCAAATCAGAAACTAAGTTGATGTGGCTTTAGGTAAGTTAAAGAAATGCTTTTCTCAAGTAACAATATAGAAAAACGTCTGAAGTTGGGTCACCTTTCCTAAAGGTAAAATGCTATGTCCTGGGGTTCTGTCCATAGAAACTCACCCCCACAGTAAGAATGGCAAAACTGACCATGAAAAGACCACATTATGAACTTTTAAGTACAGAACCCAAATACTTAGTAATATAGAAGCAATTATAAACTCCTTTGGGATAATTTCTCTTCAAGGACACACAGGCTGAGAGTCCCTAAATCATGAACTCTCAGGATAAATGACATCTGGGCCCAGGATGCCTTGCTTTTCTGATCAATCTGCCAGACTACAGGCAGGACCACTGGGAGCTGCTCCCAAACCCCCTGAAACACATTCAAAGTTAGGATCCCCTGTCCCAACGTGGTCATTCTTTCTGAGCTCTGCATGAACACCCTCCAAGCTTCCAGACACCAGAGATGAGGGAGTGCTGAGTCACCCTGCTCCAGGGCCCCCTGCTGAGCCATGTCAATACACAGCCAAGTCCTGCTGAGGCAGGTGGCTGGCTGGACAGGCCCCTGACCTGGCATAGCGTCAGTGTTCACACAGGCTGCAATTCCTGAATAGCGCTAATTGCCAGATTCCCAGACAAACAATCAAAACATGAATTTCTTATAAGAACTGAGATTCCATGCTAAACCATGCAAAACTAAAGGTGCCTGAAATAACATTTTAAAAGTATACAAGTGCCTTTTGTCATAACTAATCAAATACTAGGCTATGAGAAAAGTGAATACAAAAAATAATTCTATGCACTAGTACTTTTCAAGCAAAATGTAATAAAATAAGAAATAACCAAGTTATAACTATGACAAAAAAACTAGAAACTTGGAATATTAAATCTATTGTTCTAAGTAACAGGTGGGTGTTAGGTCTAAAATGTTAAAATAACATTTTTAATAAAAAATTAAATACCACGTATTAAGATTTAATGGGTTGTGAAGAGAACAATACTTGTGGAAAAGTTAATTGCACGAGGTGACGAGATTCTTGCTCAAAGGAGCAAGTCAGATGCGCCCCATGGAAAGACCTTGTACTAAAGGGAACTTCTTCCCCCTCAAACACAGTTGTTTTCAATGATTTCAACATCTGTGAAGGAAAAGCCCAGCCAACTGTGCCCGAGCGCAGAGGAGCTTCCTGAGTTCTGGGCTCGGGCCACTAGCTCTGCACGGCTGCCTCTTCCCCTCTCTCTGCCAGCTCTGGGCCTTCACGAATATGCTGCTGCGTCCTAAGGCCAATCTGCGAACAAAAACCAACACAAATTCCTTTCCTTTGTCCTCAGAGCTCAGCTATGGAAATCCTACATACAACTAAGACCAAAGTTTTGGGGACGCAGGAACAGAACTCCCCACGTCGTGAATCTCTAAATAAGCAGCAACGCATTTCCTCGTCTCAGAATAAAGCAAGGAGACAGCCTTGGGCTGGTGAAAGGCTCAGCGGGAACACAGCCCCTTCCTGCACCTTCTTACTTAGAGAATATCCTGTGAGATGTGACAAAGCCCGTCCAATGGCTTGGACAGTGATGGCGCTCCGCGCAGACACCAGCAGCTCAGGACACGACGCCTAGGAACAGGCGGGCCCCGGCTCAGCCCTCCCTCTCCAGGCGCCTGGGCCTGCTCCGGGCCTCCTCTCTGCAAACCACCTTCGTCCGCTCCCCGCTCAAAGCACTTTGCGGCCACCCTACTGCAGCTGCCTGCATCTCTACCCCAATTCCTGGCGGCCCGCCCACCCACCTGGGCACAGGGAGCCTGCACCCATCTCAGAGGAGGAGGAGGAGGAGACTGGCACACACACACCCTCCCTGCTGGGGAGAAGCTGGGAAGCACCCCTAGCAGGCTGAGTCCCTCCAGGCCCAGACCAAGGCTGACCTCCCTGCTCCCACCACCTTGTTCTCCCACTCGGGACAGGCTCACCAAACTCCTCTGATCCTTTACAGGAAGAAAAACCTCATGCACAAAACCCTCCAGTGCCCTCCCGCTCGGTCCCGCAGAGAGGTGTGCCAGCTTCAGGGCTGAGTGAGACGGAGGCATCAGGGCCTTCAGCCCGGTTTGGCCAGCGTCTCGCTGCACCATCAGATTCCCCTCCCCATCTTGTCCAGGGGAAGACCAGGGTGGTATCTTAGCATCACACACCCACCATATACAAATACCTTAAACATATGGTATCTTTGCTATACTTCCTTAAAAGCACAGAGAATTAGAGGCTGGCAGTGTTCTGGGTCTGGTCCCCAGCCCTGAGGTACAGAAATGCAATTTTATCAGAGGCAGCCCAACATGGAGAGATCTGACTCACACCAACCAAACTCACAGAGGTTTGGTTAAATAAATTCAAGTGCCAATTTCTCTAGTAATAAACAATACAGCCAAGAAGCTAAACACAGATGGTCACTGGAAAGTCTATGTGGAAAACAGAACCATTAGAACAGCAATGAAGAAAACAACCATGTCAGATGCTGAGGACCTGTCAGGAGTGAGCCCAGAGTCCCTGCCATCCCTGGACACAGAATTCCCTGAAAGGTAAACAGAGTGACTGAACGCAGCAGGGCGGGCACAGTGGAAGAGGGTGTGGTAAGACCCTCCTGTCAGGGCACAGCACTGTGAACGGTCTCGCCTGTGAGAAATGCCTGCTCTCTGGGTAAGCCCCTTCCACACAGGGGGCGCTAAGGGAGCTTGTTGCGAAGGTGGCCCAGCAGGGCAGGCAGGAGGTGAGGAGTGCTAAACCCACGGGGTCCAGATGGGGATGAGGCTCGGCTGGACTGAGAGCGTGTGGCTTTGTGACTGATTCCTTGCTGCTCCTCAGACGCACCAGACTTCTCCCCACATTTGTTCACACCTTGGTGGACAGTAAGTGGAAAATAACAAGCAATTACACACCCTCTCAATCCTCTTCCCCACCCTTAGGTCCATGGTGGAAATAATGTCTAATGAAAAAAGAAATTGGGACTTCCTCCAAAGCCATCAGATTCCAAGCAAGCTCATGGAAACACAGTTTTAAAGCTGCTAAGGACACTTTTAAGTCTAGAAGCCTACTAAGAGATGTCTAGATCTCAAGCTGCACTTGGACGGAGTGACTGATTCACTTCTGTCTGGATAGGTAGGAGTCTACACCTAGAGAAATCCATTATACAGAAAGAAAGACTGAAACAGCAAAATTCTGGCCCCTATACAATCTACCTATAGAAGTTATTATCAACTTTGTTTTCTTTCCTCTACATAAAACTAAAACATCAGAGAACAAGAGAGAAACAGGTGGGGGAAAACAGAACCCAAATTGGAAAAGAACAAGTCCCTATTGTGTTAGGTGTTTTCTACTTCTACAAGACAATATTCATCAGGGCTAATTCATCGAGCACTCAAAGGTCTCTCCGGTAAACTGTGGGCTTTGGGCCATTACGATGTGCCCATGTAGGTTCATCCTTATAAAAAAGGTTCCACTCTGGTGAGCAGGTTCATGAGGGAGGCTCTGTGTGGAGTAAGGGCTGTATGGGAAATCTCTGTACCTTCCTCTTAATTCTACTGTAAACCTAAAACTACTCCAGAAAGAAAAAGTCTTAAAAAAAAAAAACTTTAAAAAAACCCCTAAAGGTAACGTTCCAACTCTGCAAGCATCATGGGGAAATTATGGTCAGAACTGCAGGGAGCAAAGCCTTGTGTGCGAGGCGCACCTGCTGCGGCCTATAATGCTCTCTCTCCTGGCCTCCAGCTTAGCTGACTCAGCAGGGAACCGGGCAGCCAAATCTAATATAAAAACCTCCACAAATCAAGCGTTCTGGGAGAAGGTCTCGGCTGGAGCACAGATGTCACCAAGTCACCTAAATGAGTGAGACCCAGGGTGGGTGGTAAAAGAACATAATACGGCAAACTGGCCGAAATGCTGCTTAAGAAGGTAAAGCAGTATGATGGGAAACAGACCATTAAAGCACCACCGGATGAAAGATAGTGGGGCCGGCTGAATAACGGCCCTGAGATGTCGACATCCTAATCTTCAAACCTCATAAATGTCACCCTCCGGAGCAAAGAGGACTTTGCATATTTGATTAAATATGTCACCTTATGTAGCAACAAGGACTTTGCAGAAGGATCTTGAGATGATCCTGGATGATCCGGGGGGGGCCCAATGTCATCACATGCATCCTTAGAGGAAGGTAAGAGGGTCAGAGAAGATGTGATCAAGGAGCAGAGGTCAGAGAGAGCAAGCAAGATTTAAAGACATTAGGCTGCTGGGTTTGAAGGGGAGCAGGGTCACAGGCCACAGAAGGCATCACCTCTAGGATCTGGCAAAAACAAGGAAACAGACTGTCCCCAAAGCCTCCAGAAGTGACACAGCCTTGCTGACCCTTGACTTCAGCCCCATGAGACTGATTTCAGGCTTCTAAGTACCAGACTGTAAGAGAAAACGTGTGTTGTTTTAAGACACACTGGTAATTTGTTACAGCAACAGGAAGATGGATGATGACGGATGGACAAACTGTCGGTCTGGTTTTGAGGACAGTAAAAGGACAAGCTGCAAATTCTGCATATCTCTTAAACCAAAACCTGCAGATGTATCAGGAACCACAGGTACCCTCAGAGGCTCCTACAATCTTCCAGTCATGGGGGTGGCAGACCTGAGGTGGCCCTCACCCTCCTCGTCAACAGCCAGCGCCATCCAGCTCAGCAGCAACTAGCAGGACCAGGGCCCTGACTTCCGTCAGCGTTTTCTCAGGACTTTCTTCTTTCAGAGTTCGCAGGTGCCTTGCTCTCAGCACCCAGATCCTGTCTGTCTTCCCCAGACCAGCTCAAGGCCCTTTGTTTTCCCCCGATTCAAAACCAGTGCTGACAAGCCCAGATGACACACAGGTCATGGGACACGCAGAGCCGCACTCCGACCCCTGCCTCTGAGTCCCTCTCTCTCTCTTACCCATGTGGCACTTACCACGCTGGTCTACATTCTGGTTAAGTGTTTAACTTGTCTCTGTCCTGGTTCTCCAGCTAGAGCACAGGCCTCTTGAGGGCAGGGAACATATCTAAAGCTAATTTTCCTGGAATTTAAAAAAACTGAAAAATACACACAGAAGCTGTACTATTCACAGTCAAAACCTGTTATACACAGTTAAAAGAATAATAAAACAAAACAAGCCTCATAGTCACTCTCCTTACAAAGAAGACAAGAGTCTTAGAAGCGCCGTGTGCTTCCTGCCTGATTGCATCCCCTTCCACCACCCTGGGGGTAACCACTCTCCTAAATTATGACGTTATTCCCTTGCCTCCTTTTTTTTAGTAGTGGTACTATTCCCCTGGCACAGGTTCTGAAATAGCGGTACTTGGTTCTGCCTGGTTTTGAACTTCATACAAAGCAATCGGACTGCGCACATTCTTTGGTGGCTTGTTCCTTTCACTCAACGTTGTTTTCGAGACTCGGCAGAGCTCCTTCGAGACCCACCAGTGCTGCCGCACACCACCTCGGGGTACAGACACCACGATTCACACGCCGTTTACTGAATAGTAACGGCTGGGGGACCCTGGGTAGTTTTTGCTGGTTTTTACTGCAGTGAGGAACACTGCTGCCATGAACATCCCATGCACATCTCTGGGCACATGTGCAAGAACATCAATGCCTAAGGGTTGAACTGCCAGGCTGCAGCGCATCCATGCCCTCCACTACACTGCCAAAGCAGCTGAACCAATCCACATGCCCACCAGCAGGGCACAAGTTCACCATGCCTCCTCCTCAACACTGCAGTGTGAGCAGTTCACCTTCTGTCCACAGGATGGCTGGAAGTGGGAGGTCAGGTTTGGTGTACATACCATTGAGACAGGGACTGTGGGTTTAGATAGAGTAGGGTGAGGGCCTCCAGGTAAAGCAAAGCAGGGTAATTACAGTCAAAACAATGTAACAAGGTACAAAATAAAACCCCTACCGAAACTCAAAACTCCATTTTAAACATTAAGTAAAGTCAGTCACATTAATTCTCTAGGGTAAAAATATTAAACTAGGAATACAGGCATTCTTTGGTGAGATTAGTTAAAATTAGAGAGCCAGAAAAGACTCAAAATTAATGAGCTAATCAGTTAAAGCTCAAAAAGCCAGGAATAACTTGACCTGGAATGTCAAATATTCCCCAGGTAAGAAAATATCTCAGGATAGCCCATGTCTTCATTGTGTCAATTAAATCATGCCATTCTAAGATTTACTTTAGCCTGCTAAAAGGCCCAGCTTATTTTTTTAACTTTACCCATATGCTGCTTTTCCTCCTCCAGTCCCTAATCAAGTAATTTGCAACCTGGGCAATTGATTTAGCAAGCAAGCCCAGCCATAAAACAACATAGTAAAAACAGGAAGGATTCCATCTTAAAGATAAGATCACATTTTAAAACCCAGTAAGTTAGAAAGTAAGGTTCTTAACATATTCTTTAGCAGACAGACAATAACTCAGCCCACCTTGGGAGCAGGGCAGGCAGACATGACTTGATTGATAAGCTTCCAGACCAAGAAGCTGCTATCCTGGGAAGGAATCAGAGCAATACATTTCTTCTGTTACCTAAAGAACTGATATGAGGAAAAGAGACTTAGTGTCTCATCAAAGATAAACATTTTAGAACCATTTGGCAGGTCTGCTTCCCTAGCCCTTTGTCACATTCATCCTCAACTGCCTATAAATACCCTAAACACACCACCCCAGACTCTCTTGTCCCCTCCCTGCATGAGCCAGGAGCTGGGTCCTCTCACTTTCTCTCTAAATAAAAACTTCTCCCTTGCTTTTCTACCTTGAGTGTTTGCAAAGTTCATTCTTTGACGCCATGAACAAGAACCCTGGCATCACCCTGATTACTAAGACTGACTGGCATTCTTTTGTTTCTGTGCTATTTCCTCATCTATGAAATGCCTGTTTCTAGCTTTTGCTCTTAGTTCCACTATGTTGCCTTCCTTTTCTTTCAGAATTTTAAGAACTGTTTCTATATTCTAGATACTAGTTCTCTGTATATTTTGTCTCTTTATAGTGCTTTGCATGAACTGTCTTAATTTTAAGTAGTCAAATGTATCAATTTTCTTTCTGTGCACCTTGTTATGTTTTCTCTAGGAGATCCTGTTTTAGTCCCAGGTCATAAAGATATTTTCCTGTATTATTTTCTAAAAAGTTTTTACAATTTTGCTTTCAGATGTAAGTCTACTCCTTCTGCAGGCTTCATGATGGTGTGAGGCTAGGATCACATCCATCTATAATATTCCTCAACACCTGGCATGGTGCTCTGTATACAATATTTGTTAATTAAATAGAAGCAAATACTGCTTAGTGTTCAAAGCTCAAATTTCACTCTTGAGGAGTAAAAATATAAGAAACTTCTCAAACTTTGTGTCAGCACTTTGACAGAGTTGTTGCTGGTATGATAAAATAGTAAGAACATCCACTCCACAGTGTATATGCAAGATAACGGAAAACTTGCACTCCAATAAAAGCCTGCACAGCCATACTCATAGCAGCACTATTCCCAATAGGTAAAAAGTATAAATAACCCAAATATCCATCAACAGATGAATGGATAAACAAAATGCAGTCTATCCACATAATGGAATATCATTCAACAATAAAAAGGATGAAGCACAAGTATACATTACTACCGGACAAAGCTTGTTCAGAAAGCCCAAATACACAGATACAGAAAGCAGATTAGGGCTGCTAAGGAACAGGGAGTGACTGCTAATGGGATATGATTTCTTTTAAGTTGACCGGAATGTTCTGGAGTTAAACAGTGGAGATGGCTGCACACTGAATAAGCTGCTATGAACAGTACACTTTCAAATGGCTAACATGGTGACTTTTTTGTTCTGTGGATTTTACCTAAAATTTTTCAACTTACTAAAAAGAATATATTTAATGTGTTGAACTCAACGGCCCTGGAATATTGCCGTAATGATCAAAACCACAGACTCTGACAACAGACTTCCTGGATTGGAAGACAGGTTGCTTGCGAGGAGCTCCGAATCTTGTCTGAAGGTGAAATTACTTCACCTCTCACCTTGCCTTACACCACCTGTAAACATGGGAATAATAGTTCCTGCCTAAGATTATAATGAGAATTAAATGCAGTAATTCTCCGACACATAAAAGCACTTAGAACAGTGCCTGGCACACCTACGTGCTCATAAACCTTAGCTATTAGCCACCATAATTCAGTGTTAGCTATTGGCTGAGAGCGGGCTTTTTGCACAAGACGCCGCCAAGGGCTTTATTCCTGTCACCCTGCTTATTCTCTCAACAACCTTAGCAATCAGTTATAGTCATCCCCAGTTTACAGACGGGGAACAGACACAGCGGTGAAGCGACACGGCCGGGACCCTGAGGCTGGGTGGCCAGCGGCGGGTCAGACCGAGGTCTATCCAAGTCCAGAGCCCTGGGGGGAGGCCCCGCGTGAGAGCCCAGGCTGCGTCCTGCTGGCAGCACCGAGCGGGCCCGGCGTGCGGGTCCTCAGGGACAAGGGCGGCCGGCCAGGCCTCAGGGCCCTCCCCGCCAGCACCTGGCAGCGCCGGCTCCCTGGAGACGCGGCCGCCGCTTCGGGACCTGGCGGTGCCCTTCCCTCAGGAGCGCCCTCATTCTCAGTCACTCTGAATTCAGAACAAAGACGACGACAAATCCCACTCAACCCGAGCGCTTGGGAAATGAGAATAAAGAAGCAAAGACAAAGGGGGGTTTCGGAGCCTCGCGGGCAGCGCCCGGCCAGGGGCCCCGGAGGGGCCCGCGCTCGGGGTGGGTGGGGCCCCACGGCTGCGGGTGCTGGGGGGCGCAACGCCGGGGGCAGCTGGGGTGGCGCTATGGGGCAAAGGGTCGGGTCTGGAAGAAGGGGTGCTGGGGGCGGGGGTCCCACGGACGCGGGGCACGAGTCCCGGGGGGCGTGGCGGGCGCAGAGGTAGGCGCCGGGCCGAGGCCCCGCGGGCGCCTAGGAGGCCCGGAGGGTGTGGGGGGCCGAGCCAGGCGCGGCGGGCGCGGTACCTGCAGAGCCGGCGCAGTCTTCGAGCTGGTCCCACCAGAGCCGCGCGGCCGCCGCCCCCGTCGCCGCCGCCGCCGCTGCCGCGGGCCGCGCCCCACGTGACCCATGCACGCGCCCGGGCGGGGCCAAATCCGCCCAGGCGCCCGACGTGCTGCCTACCCGAGTGCGCGTGCGCGACGGTTGCCGTGGAAACAGGGAAGCGTTAGGCCGCCAACCGAGCAGGCACAGGTGGCCTGCGCGGAAGAAAAGCGGGCGCTCCCTTGTCCGGCTGTGGGCCGCAGCGATCGCCCAGGACCGGGCTTCCCCACTGCTACTCGGTGTTTCGTGTTTCTGGAATAAGCATGCACCCCGAGGCCTCGGAGCCTGTGGCGGACCGGGCGGCGGAGCAGGACGGCGCGCAGGAGCAGGGCGTGGAGGAGTCGGCTGGCGATCACCAGGACGCAGGCCTGGGAGCCCGCAAGGAAGGTGCGGACCTCCGCCCGGGAAGCTGAGGGGGCAACGGGCTGTGCCGTACCTCGCACGGATCTTCCCAGCCGGCACTAAAAATAATAGTAACGGTAGCGGCCCAGACCGTTTACACTAAGGCGTGCCCAGCACGCGCCGCACTTGAGCCATACGCCCGCCCTCTGCGGTGGGCACTCCTCTCGCTATTTCATACAGGGGAAGAAACTGAAACTTAAAGAGTCCGTAGAACTTGCTCCAAACCGATCACCCTCAGCCAGTCAATAGCAGAACAGACTCACACCCGGACTCTGAGGCCCGGAGTCCAGGCCCTTACCTAACTCACCATTCTCCCCACCTCCCAACTTTTTAATGTTTTGAATGTAACCCTTTATTGTTATCACCATGTAAGATCAAAGGTTCTCTCCCTTTCTAGACTGCAGGCTATGTTGGGGCAGAACATCCTGATTTTGCACACAGTGTCCAGTCCAATGTCTGACCACAGTAGAGAGGGAATGAAGAGCTGGTGGTTCTGGGGTCGGCGGGTGACTCCCCAACAAAGTTTCCCAGAATGAGCTTAGAAGACGGACTCCACCCTCTGCTCCCATTCGGCTTGGGGACCTAAGGGAAATATTTTAATGATTAGATAAATTACTTGATTTGTTTCATTTTTTGAACCCAGTCAACAAATATATCTTAAGCATCGACTGTCCAGGCAAGCCCTGTATGAGGAAGCCATGTTCTTTGGAAAGACAGACTTTGGAGCCATTCCTGGTGGGTTCAATTGGCAGCTCTGCAACTCGCCAGCTTTACAGCTGTTGGTCCAGAACTTAACCTTCTTTTGGGGCAGCTTCCTCATTTGCAAGCAGGGATAATTATAATTAGAGTTTCTGGCATACAGCGGGCCATGAATAAGTGGTAGTTCTTGTTATTAATATAATCAGTTATTATGTATATATTGAACACCTATTCTTTATTTGGTCTCTCATGGCTCCAGTGGGAAATGGGGAAGTGCAAGACACAGTCCCATACACGGAGTTCAGTAGCCCACAGGCACACTCAGCAGCAGCCAATGGCCCTTGCGATAAAGTGCATTTGCACTGGCCAATTTTAATGGGCCTTTAAAAAAACAAGTGCATTTGAATGGGCTCATTTTCTTTTCACCAAAGATGTTTTCACTGTTTCTTTTCCTGTGATCTTTCTTTTGAAGAAAGGACAGAAAATATTGTAACAAACACCCATGTTTCACCACCAAGAATTGAAAATGATTACCATTTTATCATATTTCTTGAAGTCCTTTTTAAATTACAGAAATAAAACAGTTCAATAGATATGTAATAACGTTGATGTTCCTTTTGCCCTCCACCCTCCAACTCTCAGTCCTATTCTTGTCTCCAGAATTCTGTATGGATTCTTTCAGTCACTCCTCTCTACACACATATTACATGTCCTTAAACAATGAATAGCACTGGTTTGTGTGTTTTTAGTTTATATAAATGGTATACTGACCTTATTATGGAACTTGCTTTTTTCACTCCATACATGTTTCTGAGAATGGTCCATACTGATGGAGGTAGTCCCAGGGCATTCTTTTCCAAGGCAGAATAATCCATTATTTAATTTAACCAGTCCCTATGGGTGGATGTTTGCATTGTTAACAGTTCTTGGCTGTAACAAATAATGCAGAAAGGAATATCTTTGTACATGTCTCCTAATGCTCCTCTACAAGAGTTTTTATAGAGGCGCTATCTAGAAATGAAATTTCAGTAGTCCTTCTCAATGCCTTAAAAACTGTTAAGTTAAAGAGTACTGGTGTACCAAACTGAAAGTGGGCAATAAGTTGGAATTGGGAGAATTTTTTGTGTACATTTCTTGATGTTTACAGAACCAACCTCTTATCTTACAGAAATTAATGACCCTAAAGAAACGTGTATAGGTCCTCCTGATACATCCTCCCAAAGCAAGCAGAAACAGAGCGGTGATGGCAGGCCGCATGGTCAGTTAGCACACCAAAGAGATGACAAGGAGGATCACAGCCCCAGGTATCATAGCTCACGTTTACCAAGGAAGGTAGATGCTGTGATCACCTCTTTGTACAGAGAAGGAAATTGAGGCTTATGGAGATTAGTCAGCCTGATGTCTGGGAATTTGTAGCGGAGTCAGGGCAGCAGTGCTTCTGATGGCACAGCTAACCACCACCTATTCAACTTTAATGCCAAACCTGGAAAGGGAGACATCAGTGGTTCATGATGAAACTGTTTAAAGTATTTTTATTAAAACATGCATTGCAATTTTTAAGAATGCTAAAACTAATGATACTGGATGAGGCCCCGAAAGCCATATATATTTTAAGAACTTAAAATAGCTATCAGGCATATAGGATGTTGTAGAATCTGGGGAAGGAATGGAAGTGGTAAAGAATTTTTAGAATATTTTTGATAGATGACAAATTGAAATAAATTTCTTGCTCATGTTTTTCATTTAACAGAATGACTAAAAGTTTCCTACAAAAACTCTGCCAGCAACACAAGCTTTATATTACCCCGGCATTGAACGATACACTGTATTTACACTTCAAAGGTAAGGGACCTGGTAGTTGAGATGTCTCACATCAGGTGGAATGCCCTCATGATCTAAGAAATTACATGGGTCACCCAGAGTTCTCAACTTACATTTGAGCAGGAATTTCAGACATTGATGGAGATCTATGGAAAAGCAATAATATTCCTTTGAAGAAAAAGTCTTACCTGACTGGAGTTTATAAAGGCAGCGACTGACTAGACAGATACAAGGGAAACACAGTGGTATGTCTTAAAGGACTCATGATTTTTTTCAAACCAGAAAGCCCATCGTAAACATTTTGTGTGTGGGAGGAATGTGTTGTGAAGGATGAAGACTGATGTAGAAAACAAAGGATGGGAGGCTTGTGCCTCTCAGAATGGAGGGTATGAACAGTGGCATCCTGGGGCTCAGGGAAGATGTCAGTCACTCCTACAACCTTAAGCTGAGGGTCATAGAGCTGCTCCTTGCGATGATAAAGAGGAGTCGGCCGAGTCTGGTAGGGCCAGCCTGCTTCATCGGTCGGTCATCTGTGTGGTCGTTAGTTTGGCCGGTAAATGTTTACTGAGAGTCTTCTGTGGCCTGGCACACGCTCTGTGCTGAATACGGAGATGGCTATGGTGAAGGTACCTTTGGTGTCCTGCAGGCTGGGGCAGCCCCTGTGAGGAACACCATGCCAGGAGGGTCTGTGAAGGGCTCCAGCAACCCAAATACCTTAAAGGTTTGCAGTAACTCCTGACTGGTCTCACCTCCACTTGACCTCCAAATTCTCCACTCAATGTCTAGGTGGTAGCAGTGAATAAGACAGCCTAAAAGGGCAAGATTTAAGAAGAAAAGGACCCAGTGAATTGGACTAAGTAGAAAGAGTCAGAGAAGCAGAAGAACTGGGGAGACGTGCCTATTTTTTACCTACCACTGTATATCAAATTATCCCCAAACTTCACAACTTAAAACAAATTCATTATTTGATACTGCTTCTGTCAGCCAGGAATCTGGGAATGACTTTGCTGAGTGGTCTGGCTCACCACTGACATTATAATTTCTTAAAACTTTTCCAGACAAAATAAATAACTTATTTTAAGTTTTCATAATAGATGAATCATGAACTACAAATTGATAATGAGTTACTAAAGGAAACAAAAATGTTTGTTTTCCTAATCCTAAATTTGCCTTACAACAGTGAAAAATAAAACAAGACCCACAGTTTGCATGACCTTCCGGCTTAGCTGGATATTGGCGCTCAGAGCATCACTTCACTAGGCTCTCTGTGTCCTTTTCTTGTCCCTGCTTTCCTCTGGCTCACTTCGGGCGGGTCACCCCTCACCTCACCCTCTCTCAGCCATGAAGGGAAGGTGGCCCCTGCTCGATCTTACCAGGCCGGCAATTCCAGCAGAAAGGCCACCTCTTTCCAGTGGAGCCAGCAAAGCTCCCCAGCATTCAGCAAAGTCAGCCCTACTGAGCTAACTGTGACCAGCCCGGAGTGAATCGTGAATTGCTGTGACTCTGATTGGCCACTCAGAGAGCTATAGGGTGGGGTCAGGAGAGGGAGATTCCTCGAGGCAAAGGGGCAGCAGTGCTACTCGAGGAAGGAGGTGTGGATGCCACACAGGTAGGCAAAACCAAGGTGACCTGGGGCCTCTGCGTGTGCGGAGGACCTGACCGAACGCTGCCTGCCCCTGCTAGGTTTCGATCGCATCGAGAACTTGGAAGAGTACACGGGGTTGCGCTGTCTCTGGCTAGAGTGCAACGGCATACAGAAAATCGAGAACCTGGAGGCCCAGACGGAGATGCGCTGTCTCTTCCTGCAAGTGAACCTGCTTCATAAAATTGAGAACCTAGAGCCTCTGCAGAAACTGGATGCTCTTAACCTCAGCAACAATTACATCAAGACCATCGAAAACCTCTGTAAGAGCCCCCAGGGGCCTTCCCTTGGGGGAGGATCTAAGAGTTCCTTATAGGATCACTGCTTACTTCTGCTGACCTGGCCTTCCAGCCTGCCTGCCCTTCCTGAACACACTCCAGATGGCCCACAATCATTTGGAGACTGTGGAGGACATCCAGCATCTAAAGGAGTGTCCGAAGCTTTGCGTGGTTGACCTTTCCCACAATAAGCTGAGTGATCCCGAAATCCTGAGCATTCTGGAGAGCATGCCTGACTTGGTAAAACGCACGTACACAAAGCTTACCTTCTTCTATGTCCTTTAGACACCATATCTCTCTTCTCTTTCCCCTCCCTCCCTTCCTCCCTCCTTTCCTCTTGGTATTTTCAGCTGGAATATCTTAAGTTGCCAGATGCCATGTCATCTCACCCACAAATATTTCAGGGTGCATCTCTGGCAGATAAGGACCTTTTTAGCACAGTCACGATACTATTATTATTATATCTAAACTATTATAATAGTTTGCTGCAATAATGAAACCATGTTAACATACCCAGTCCATGTACAGTTTTCCCTGTTTGTCTCAAAAATGGGCTTGGACTGTTGCGTTGTCTACTTCCACACCAGATCCATTATTCGTCTCTCAAATTTCTTGATCCATCACATTCCCCTTCCCTGCTTTTCCCTCCACCCCATTAATCTTTCGGAGAGACTAGATCCTTTCTCTGGGTGTTGGCCACATTCTGATTTGGTTGGTTCCATCCTCATGGTGTCATTTAACATGTTCCATTGCACCCATATTTCTTATAAAATGATAGTGGAGCTGGAGGCTTGATGGGATCCAGGTTCAATGTTTAACTTTGAGGTGAGCTGTTACATCACATCACGGGGTAGGTAACATATGGCTGCCAAACTTTAAGATTGATTGGGGTGTTCAGGGGTCGTCAGCCTGATCCAGTCATTACGAAGCCCCCCATCAGCCTTTCTCCAGTTGTTTCAGCAGCCACTGGTGAGCATCACCTGCGTGCATTGTTTCATTCTGAGTTGTACAACAGTCATATTCTGATTTTTGTATTCCTTCTGCATTTATTAGCTGGAATGCTTCTACAAAGAGGAACTTTCCCTCATCAACTAGTGGTTTTAAAGTCTCCACACAAATGGGCCCTGCAGGATCTGCCCCCGTGGCATTGCACTCCCGCCACACCAGCCCCCACAGGATAGGCCACAGGACAATAGGAAGAGGATGGCAATGGCTGTGCAAGATCGAAGATGCGAAATACTAAACTAACTCGTTTCCAATGCATTTATTTTCTCCAATAACCAAAACCACTTTAGATATGAAAAGTGTTTCATCAGTTTAGTCACACTGATTTTAAAGGCCTCATCCACGTCTTGCCTAGCCCTTCACCTCCTTTGGGTGTCACAGGCTGGAGAGGAGGTGACGACGTTTAAAGATAGGGGGATGGCACAGTGTCCTTTGTCTTTCCTGGTCCCCACCTGACATCCAGGAGATTTGTAAGCCTGGCAGCAAGGCCCTTGGGCTAGATAAACCTGTACATTCCACCCTTTTCCCTTTTAAGGCACTACTTCTTATCTGTCTAGCCTCTACGTAGTTTCCTTAAAGTGGGTCCTGGCTGGGATGGAAAGCAAACAATCAGACTGAGATGAATTTCAGTAAAAGAGATTGGGAGCAAAACAAATGCAATCGCTATACATGGCAAAGGCCTTGGGGAATTTTCCAACATTTCCGGAAGAACAGTGAGATTTGGGATCAGAAGTGAAGTCACCGGAAGGGCTGTTCAATTACCAGGACAGTTCCGAGGACACAAAATCAAGGCAAACCTTCTTAGCTTCTCTGTAAAGCCAACAGTTCACCATGCTGGCACTTCGTTTTTATTTATCTATTCTCAGAGCACAGCACATATAAAATATTTTAATCACATCCATTTTTAGTAATTTGTCTGTGTGCTTACAGCGTGTGCTGAATTTGATGGGAAACCCAGTCATTAGAAATATCCCTAATTACCGAAGGACAGTCACCGTTCGGCTAAAACATTTAACATACCTGGATGACAGACCAGTTTTTCCAAAGGACAGGTAAGGAAGAAAAAAGCCTTTTGAGTACATTTTTAACTTACAATAGCTGAGCACGCTTAATATTAAACTTTTTTAAATTCCTGATTTTTGAGCATTTTCACATATGAAATTCTTAGGAAATAGGTTTAATGGCTACATAGCTGTTTATAATAGCACACTCCCTATTTTGGGACACTTGTTCATAGATTTTGTTCATAATTCTTTAAGAACTATCTGTGTGTTTCAGTCTCTGACTTCATTGCTGAGTATTTCATTAGGGTGGGATTTTAGGAGTTGTATTATTGGATTAAAGACTGTGGTTTGAGCCTTTTTAAATGCACTTACAATTATTTTAAAACTGTTTTTTAGGAAGTTTGTAGCAGTTTATAACTTCACCAGACACAGCCTCAGCCTTGCAAAAAAATCTTTGCCGGGTTGATTGATGAGTGAAGGTCGTGACTCATTTTAAACTGCATTTTTGGAAAACCGATGGCATTAGTCATTTTTACCGTCGCTGTGGGACATTCGTGTTTCCTCCTCTGTGAGCCCTCCATTCAGGACTTCTCCCAGTTCCCTTTGGAGAGTTTTTATTGATTCATAGACTCCTTTTATATTAAGAATCTTGAACCAGGGACCGATGGGTGTGTTGTCACTACTTTTATCAGTTTTTAAGTTAACTTTTAATTTAGGTCACTATTCATTCTGATTTATTTATTCTAATAAAACCTCAGTCATGTGGACTGTGTAGAGGGAGGTGCAATCTGAATTTTGAATTTTCAACATTTGAAAAGAAATGTAGCTGCTAACATGTCTTTAAACTCACACATTAAAGTCAGACTACTAAATATGTCCAATAGAAGTGAGACCCCCTACTCTGACAAGGTGAGAAAAAATTCTGGGAAGTTGGGCAGATGGGCCCAGTTCCGTGGGGCAATGGGGACCGGTGGAGCCTGCAGACTGACTTCAAAGCCCAGCCCTGCGGCTTCCAGTTACATTCCCTTGGGCAGGTCACTCACCTCCTGACCTCCCCTTCCGCACCTGGAAAGTGGGGACCACATCTACTGCAGGGTCCCTGTGGGGACCTGTGAGTAACATGTGGGGCTTGAGCAGGTACTGAGCTCATGAGAGGAGGGTGAGAACAGCTGTCCCTGAGGTTCTGAGCCCCACCCCAGAGCCGTGCTGATGAGAGAAAAGTCTAAACAGAGATATACGCCATACCCTTCACAGCGAGACCCCTGACCTGTACAGTGCAGCATGGCTCTGGTGCAGAAGTCAGGTACACCTGGCTCGAGTCCTGATTCCACCACCCACGAGCTGTACCCCATTGGGCACCTGCCTGGGGTGCTCTCCACAGGCGTTTGCAGGTGTCTGCTTACCTGTCATCTCAGGATTTCCAGGACTGAACACCCTAAGGAGCACCTCTTCCCCCTGGTGTCTCCTTAGCCTAATTTCTTTTTTAGCACACATCAGCCTCTGACATACGTGTTTCCTCACTTGGGCCTGTCTTTCCCCATGAAAGGGCAGCCCTAGCAGAGTGAGCAGTGGCGTCTCTCACATCACCTGCTGTGTCCCCAGCCCCTGGAACAAGTCCACCTTTTTAAAGTGGACAATTCAAAGTTTTCAGTATATTCACAGTCATGCAACCACCACCACTGAGTTCTAGCATATTTTCATCACCCCCGTAAGTAACCTTACTCATTAGGAGCACTCCCCACCTGCCCTTCCCCAGCCCCTGGCCATCGTGAATCTACTTCCTGTCTCTATGGATTTGCCTCTTCTGGACATGCCATTTACATGGAATCATACAATATGCGGTCTTTTGTGTCCGGCTTCTTTGCCTCAGCACAATACTTCCAAGGTTCATCCACACTGCAGCGCGTGTCCTTAATCCATTCCAAAATAATAACGAAAATAATATTTCATTTGGAAATGCCACGTTTTATTTACTCATCAGTTGATGGACACTGGGGTTGTTTGCACTTTGGGGCTACTACTGTCAATAATGCTGCCGTGAATATTCACGTGCAGGCTTTTATGTAGACATCTGTTTTCACCTCATTTGTGTAAATACTTAGGAGCATGCTTGCTGGTTTATATGGTAGGAGTATGTTTACCTTTATAACTGCCAAACTGTCTTCCAAAGTGGCTGCACCACCTTGTGTTCCCACCAGCAATGAATGAGAGTTCCCGTGGCTCCATAGCCTCACCAGCACACAGCGTGGCCAGTGTTTGGATTTTAGCCAGTCCAATAGGACGATGCGGTGTCTCATTGTCTCAGTTTGTAGCTCCCTGAGGTCACGTGATGTTGAGCTTGTTTGCCATCTGCCGATCTCCTTGGGGGGAGGTGTCTGAATCTTTCACCCACTTTTAAAAAATTGTGTTTTTTAATTTTTATTTTTGAGTTTTAGTAGATCTCTGTATGTTTTGGCAACAAGCTGTTTATTAGTTATCTTTCTTGCCAATATTTTCTCCCAGTCCATAGCTTGTCTTTTCTTTCTTTTAACCTTTGCCCATTTAATCTGCCTTGTCTTTGCTCTTTGTGCCAATGAGCTGTACAAGTTCTTTATATATTCTAGATACAAGTCCCTTACTCGGTACATGATCTGCAAATAGTTTCTCGATTATTTATACTTCATTGCTGAGTATTTCATTAGGGTGGGATTTTAGGAGTTGTATTATTGGATTAAAGACTGTGGTTTGAGCCTTTTTAAATGCACTTACAATTATTTTAAAACTGTTTTTTAGGAAGTTTGTAGCAGTTTATAACTTCACCAGACACAGCCTCAGCCTTGCAAAAAAATCTTTGCCGGGTTGATTGATGAGTGAAGGTCGTGACTCATTTTAAACTGCATTTTTGGAAAACCGATGGCATTAGTCATTTTTACCGTCGCTGTGGGACATTCGTGTTTCCTCCTCTGTGAGCCCTCCATTCAGGACTTCTCCCAGTTCCCTTTGGAGAGTTTTTATTGATTCATAGACTCCTTTTATATTAAGAATCTTGAACCAGGGACCGATGGGTGTGTTGTCACTACTTTTATCAGTTTTTAAGTTAACTTTTAATTTAGGTCACTATTCATTCTGATTTATTTATTCTAATAAAACCTCAGTCATGTGGACTGTGTAGAGGGAGGTGCAATCTGAATTTTGAATTTTCAACATTTGAAAAGAAATGTAGCTGCTAACATGTCTTTAAACTCACACATTAAAGTCAGACTACTAAATATGTCCAATAGAAGTGAGACCCCCTACTCTGACAAGGTGAGAAAAAATTCTGGGAAGTTGGGCAGATGGGCCCAGTTCCGTGGGGCAATGGGGACCGGTGGAGCCTGCAGACTGACTTCAAAGCCCAGCCCTGCGGCTTCCAGTTACATTCCCTTGGGCAGGTCACTCACCTCCTGACCTCCCCTTCCGCACCTGGAAAGTGGGGACCACATCTACTGCAGGGTCCCTGTGGGGACCTGTGAGTAACATGTGGGGCTTGAGCAGGTACTGAGCTCATGAGAGGAGGGTGAGAACAGCTGTCCCTGAGGTTCTGAGCCCCACCCCAGAGCCGTGCTGATGAGAGAAAAGTCTAAACAGAGATATACGCCATACCCTTCACAGCGAGACCCCTGACCTGTACAGTGCAGCATGGCTCTGGTGCAGAAGTCAGGTACACCTGGCTCGAGTCCTGATTCCACCACCCACGAGCTGTACCCCATTGGGCACCTGCCTGGGGTGCTCTCCACAGGCGTTTGCAGGTGTCTGCTTACCTGTCATCTCAGGATTTCCAGGACTGAACACCCTAAGGAGCACCTCTTCCCCCTGGTGTCTCCTTAGCCTAATTTCTTTTTTAGCACACATCAGCCTCTGACATACGTGTTTCCTCACTTGGGCCTGTCTTTCCCCATGAAAGGGCAGCCCTAGCAGAGTGAGCAGTGGCGTCTCTCACATCACCTGCTGTGTCCCCAGCCCCTGGAACAAGTCCACCTTTTTAAAGTGGACAATTCAAAGTTTTCAGTATATTCACAGTCATGCAACCACCACCACTGAGTTCTAGCATATTTTCATCACCCCCGTAAGTAACCTTACTCATTAGGAGCACTCCCCACCTGCCCTTCCCCAGCCCCTGGCCATCGTGAATCTACTTCCTGTCTCTATGGATTTGCCTCTTCTGGACATGCCATTTACATGGAATCATACAATATGCGGTCTTTTGTGTCCGGCTTCTTTGCCTCAGCACAATACTTCCAAGGTTCATCCACACTGCAGCGCGTGTCCTTAATCCATTCCAAAATAATAACGAAAATAATATTTCATTTGGAAATGCCACGTTTTATTTACTCATCAGTTGATGGACACTGGGGTTGTTTGCACTTTGGGGCTACTACTGTCAATAATGCTGCCGTGAATATTCACGTGCAGGCTTTTATGTAGACATCTGTTTTCACCTCATTTGTGTAAATACTTAGGAGCATGCTTGCTGGTTTATATGGTAGGAGTATGTTTACCTTTATAACTGCCAAACTGTCTTCCAAAGTGGCTGCACCACCTTGTGTTCCCACCAGCAATGAATGAGAGTTCCCGTGGCTCCATAGCCTCACCAGCACACAGCGTGGCCAGTGTTTGGATTTTAGCCAGTCCAATAGGACGATGCGGTGTCTCATTGTCTCAGTTTGTAGCTCCCTGAGGTCACGTGATGTTGAGCTTGTTTGCCATCTGCCGATCTCCTTGGGGGGAGGTGTCTGAATCTTTCACCCACTTTTAAAAAATTGTGTTTTTTAATTTTTATTTTTGAGTTTTAGTAGATCTCTGTATGTTTTGGCAACAAGCTGTTTATTAGTTATCTTTCTTGCCAATATTTTCTCCCAGTCCATAGCTTGTCTTTTCTTTCTTTTAACCTTTGCCCATTTAATCTGCCTTGTCTTTGCTCTTTGTGCCAATGAGCTGTACAAGTTCTTTATATATTCTAGATACAAGTCCCTTACTCGGTACATGATCTGCAAATAGTTTCTCGATTATTTATGGTATTCTTTGCATCATTCCAAACCTTTTTAATTTTCATGGAGTACAATTTCTCTATTTTTTTTTTTGTCAACTTATGCTTCAGGCATCATATCCAGAAGGCTTTGCAAACCATTAGACTTTAAAGATGGAAAATGCACATGTGTCAACTCTTCTCCTTGCAGTCACATGACCCATATGCCTTTAGCTTGACTTTGGGGAACATGAGCAAGTTTGGTCAGATAGAATATGTTTTGAATTTACTTTTTACTTGTGAAAACGCAAACCTCTCCACTTTGTTTCTTTTTTTATCCTCCTAAACAGAGCTTGTGCAGAGGCCTGGGCTCAGGGAGGGCTCATGGCTGAGAAAGAGGAGAGGCAGCTGTGGGAAGGCAGAGAGCAGAAGAAGATCAGAGACAGCATCGAGGCCCTGGCGATGATCAGGCAGCAGAAAGAAAGGCAGGAGAGAGGTACGAGCCTAGGTCCCCAGCCTAGACGAATAAGCACCCAGAGCTCCATTCAGACTAGAAATCTGGGCTGACAAACTCGCTCTCTTTCATCTCTGGAGCTTTCATTTTGTGACCATTTGCTTACATACCTGCAGATCCATCTGCCCTTGGCCTCACCCACCTGCCAAGATCAGTGAAAAGCCCCAACACTTCCGTGCAGCTTCCGAACAGGTCTAGTGATTCAGACACAATTTGTTCACATACACGCAGGTGGAGCACACAGACACTGTCGAGGATCCAGACAGAGGGGGAGCCTACAGTTCGCTGGGGAGGCAGAGAGGAGCACCAGATGCCCGTATTGGGAATTAAGTTGTAAAATGGGCAGTCATATAAGCTTAGCTGAGTTGGGTGAGATCATATCAAGAAGGGCCTTGAAAACCAGCCTTGACGTGGCTGGTGACTGGAAGTCATGGGCTATGAAGAAGATGAGTGTTGTGGAGACCATGGCAGTGGCATGAGCTTGGAGGTGGGCACTGTAGGATAAAGGTGAGGGAGAAGGTTGGCCTGCCCTTAGGGTGTCTCAGGGAGCTGCAGCCACAGAGATTTGCGTGATTTCCATGAAAATCACCACAGAAAAGCATGGAGGCCCTTGATCTTTCTTCTCATTGAGATGAAATTCACATCAATCAAATGAACCATTAAAATCCATAAAAATCAACCATTTTAAAGTAGCATTTAGCACATTCACGATATTGTACAATCAGCAACTCTAGTTACAAAACATTTCCATTCCTCCAGAATAAAACCCTATACCCATTAGCAGTGACTCCCTCTCCACACTTCCCCGATCCTCTGGACATTCTGTTTACACGGGACCATATAATAGGAGGCATTTTGCACCTGGCTTCTTTCACTCAGCATGTTTTTGAGCTTCCTCCACGTTGTAGCAAGATCAGTCTTCATTCCTTTTTATGGCCGCCCTTGACAATTTGTTCATTCTTCAGGGTGGCTGCACAGCCTCCTCTGTGGCGTATAGCACACACAGAAAACGTATACATGCCCAAGTAATAACTCAGTTACAGGGGGAACCACGCAATATTTAGTGTGGTGTCTCCTGGCTTCTCATGAGAGCAACACATTTTTAATAGAAAAATGATATAATTGTAGTGCTTTCTGCCTACTGTTTGGAATTAGCATAATACATTTTCTATAAAATAGACTTTCTCCTAAGCATGTTTTTTTCTTTTTCCCAACTTTTTATTTTGACATTTTTCAAATTTTCAGGAAAGCTTAAAGAACAGTAAGATAAACAGTTGTATTGTGCCCACTAAGGTGGGACGGTTTTTAACATTTTGACACACTGACACTTTCCCGTTGTGCTGAACCATCTGGAAGTGCAGGCAGACGTCCCGAAGCCCACCTACTCCAGTGTCTCCTAAGAACCCCTGCGGGGTGTCTTGGTGGCTCTGTCCTGTTCCAGCCCACGACTTGCTAAGCGACCCCTCTTGCGGACAGGCAGCTCCGATCATTCGGGCCTGTGCGCACCTTGATGGACATCGCGACGGGCAGTTCTTGGCTGTGACCCTGCCGGTCCCCGGGCTCCCTCTCAGCCTTTGGCTGCGGGTCCCCGGGGACGTTCCGCCTCCCTTGCGCTCCTCTCCCGTTCAGGGGAGGGGCCCGCGCCAGACGGGAAGGCGGACCGGGACGCCGGAGCGGCGGGGAAGGCAGGGCCTCGAGAGGACCCAGGAAGGCGGCAGAAAATGCAGCTGTTCGTGGAGGAAGGCCTCGAGGCCAGGGACGAGCTGCTCCCGGAAAAGCCGGGTCCGGCGGAGGAGCGGCCGGCGGATGCGCACGGAGGGGCCGAAGGGCCGGAGCCAGCGGGCGCCGCACAGCCGGCAGCCGCCCTGGAAGGTAAGGCGCGTGGGAAGCCGCCGCGGCACCCGGGCTGCTGTGCCCCCTGCAGCCGGCCGGTGGTCTTCCGCCCCGGAAGGTGAGCCACGACTATGCCGCATCGGAGTCCCATTAAACAAGGTGAGAAGAAAAGGCTGAGAACACACTGTTGTAATGAACCCACTATGTCCAAAATATAATAATGCAGATACTGTAAAGTTCTGAATGAGATGCTTTGCTTTCTTTGGCACTAAGTCTTCAAAACCCAGCGTGTATTTGGCACAGCACATTCTCAATTTGGAAACTAACTTCCCAGCCATTCAAGTGTAGTCCCACAAAAGGAGCGAGTTGCTTTATACTGCTCAGTTTTTAAAGTTAAATTAATTAAAAATAAAAACAATTAAATAAAACTAAAAATGCAGTTCTCAGGAGCTTGGGCTGCACTCCAGGTGCACAGCCAGACACTGACACAGCCAAGCCCAGACATGGCTGTGGCTGCCATAGTGGGTGACACAGATCTAGGACAAGGAGCCCCTGGCAGGTTCTAGCCAAGTTCCTTGGGTCTTGCCGACTAACATAAACCCAGGACTCACTGGGGTCGCCGTCCTATTGCTGTGTTATTGGTGAGGGTGAGCCAGACCTGGACCATGCCGTCTGGAGGGCCTTGGCTGACGGAGAACGTTGTCCTCAGCTTGAGCAGCAGTTGGGGTCTGTTTGGGGAGTTGAGCTGGCCTGGCCCAGGACAAAAGGTCCCCAGAACGAAGGTCCCCATGTCTGGGAGAGACTGAGAAGTAACCTGTTCTCCACAGCACCGAGGATGCCAGCCAGGCAAGGGCTCATCTTCAGAGCAGCTGGTGCATGGCTGTAGCTGGGAAAGAGGTTTGTTTATCCAGCACACGGGGGTGCTCTGAGAGGGCCGACTTCCAGGCCACATCTTGTTCAGCCTTGGCAACTGCCCTGAAAGGCAGTTGCCATCGTCATTACCCCATTTTATGGAGTTGGAAACTGAGATTCAGAGAAGTGAAATAATTCTCTCCAAGCCACAGAGCAAGCCAACGGCAGAGGTGCGGATTGAGGCCCATCTGCCTCGGACTGAGTCTTGCATCACCGCCATCAGCCCTCCTCTACTGCTCGTACCTCTGCTTTCTGCCCCCTACCTTTCTGCCTGAGCCCCCCTCTGCATGTCCCGGGTCCTGAAGTGAACTGGGTTCCCAGGTCCTGGGTTTTCAGAGCAGGAGGCCTGACTTCCACCTCAACTGAAGGCACTCAACCCCAGGGAAAGGCAAATCCCAGTAAAAATCATGTCTTTAAAACTTACTTTCCCAGTTACCTTTCTTGCATGAGACATGGTCTTTCCTTGCAAGTAACGAGGCCTTAGCGGAGGACAGAGAAAATGAGAGACAGTTTGACCAGCTTCACTGGACTTCCTCTGCAAGTGCTGAGATCTTGCCATGGAACCAGGAACCAACGATGGTTGCCTGAGAAGCAGTCAGGACTCAGATGCTCTAATGAGTCTAAATCTCAGGGCAGGAGGACACACCACGTGAGTGCTTGCCACAGTGGAAACAGACGTTTCCAACTCTTCAATAACACTGTCTCTGGGAGAGCTTTAGCTCCTTTCCTGTGGTCGCCAGGATGGTACAGAGATGATCAGTGTCTCACTAGAGCACACTGTGTGCAGACATGACAGTGCAGTTTCTAGACGGGCACCCGGAGGTCAAACCCAAGTCCAGCACCTTGGATGCCCCCGGGGCAAACCACAAGCCTCTCTGAGCCCCATTCAGCCCGTGAAATGGGGACGATCTCTGACAGGGACTGAAGGAGGGAACCTAAGCAATGCAGCTGACAGTTGCTCACCTCTTTCCCACTGCACCGTCTCCCGAAGTAAAATAGAGCCTAAGCAGACGGGTGTTTGGAAGCAAGCAGACTTGGTAGCAGCCTTAAGTACAAGCTCCTGACAGCTGACTGGGAGGTTGAGACCACAGTGCCGTGAACAAGGCAGGGGTGCGGGAGGATGGGCTGCTGAGAGGGAAAGCAGCTGTGGTTGTAATTAGAAGTTCCAAATTTAAGAGGCCACAGGAGGCCCCGTGCGGAAGCCCACGGCAACTGGGCCTTGTGGGTGCAGGTTGAGGGGGTTGCTGCAGTGTGGGCCCAGCTCAGCCACAACAGCATCTGTTTCCATGTTTCATCCTTTACTGGTGCCCACAGTGGCCTGGCCAGTCCTCAGCGTATAGATACACTGGACCCGTGTGTGATGAGGAGAGTTGGGCCATGAACTCCTAATCGCTGGAGCTGCAAGGCTGAGCAGAGAGCAGAGGACAGGACCTGAGGATACGGCCTTGGGAACCTTGAAAAATGGGTGCCTGGAGGAGGGACAGGAGCCCCACCTCTATTCCAGTCTCCAGGCAACCTTGAGATTATTGACAGGTGTTCCTGGCCCTGTTTGGGGGCGAATACCCTGAGGGCACAGGCCACCCAAGGGAGTGGTGGGCTCACCCCTCCTGGGCACAGCTGTCACCTGCCTGCCAGCCACCCAGTTGGCCTTTCTTGGTCTCCCCGCCCATCAGCCAGACCTTTCCCAAGGCTCCAGGCTCCATCCATCTCCAGCTTCTGGGACACCTGGGACCAAGCTTTCCTTTCAGACACACCCCATCCTCACGTGGGGACCCTTGCGGCGTCTGTCACGGGGGCCGGCCTCAGACCTGGAGGGTGTGCTCTTCCTCCGCTTTTGGAATTCACCTCAGCCTTGGGCTTGACAGTCTGACCACTGTGTATAAAACTAACTCCAAGATTAATAACTTCTTGTTATTGTTCCTTAGAATCTACCCCCCTGAGTGTGGCCCTTGAGCATGCATTCGGTGCAGAACTTGATGGAGATGAAGATTTGGAAACCACTAAACTGGAGATGAAGGAGAAGCTCTTCATCGATGTATGTAAATAGCTGCATGCGAAGATAGCTACCTGCTTTAGAGCTGGTATCCTATCAGATCCAAACCTTCAGTCTTTGCCACCCAAAGTGTGGTCCTTGGACAGCAGGCTTGGCATCCCCTGGGAGCTGGTTAGAATATGAATCCCAGGCCCTACACAGACCTACTGATGAGAATCTGCATTTTAAAAAGATCTTCCCCAGGTGGTTCATACATGTGCACATTCAAGGCTGAGAAGTGCTGGCCCAAATGATTCCCCTTGAACTATGTCTACAAACTCTTGATTTGTTCTCCCTGAAGAAGTCACACTGCTAGCTAGCCTTATGTAAACCGCCGAGAGATTTTATCATCAGAGCCTCTAGTCCACAGCCAGCTGCCCGGCCTCTCGCTGCCCCCGGCTTCCTGATGTGACTGTCCAGCATCCTGTTCCCTGGGGGTGGTTCAGTGAGGGGCTGTCTGACCTTATGACTGATCATGGCCTCGACAACGTCCCTCCTCCTGGAAGCTCTTCCTGCATTGGTAATAGTTAGAAACGCTTTAGCCCAAGGGAATGGGCTCCAGGGGAATTCACACATTTTGTCACGACCCCCAGGAACTGCACTTTGGTGTGGGGCAGGGAGTAGGGGGGCTTCTCTCATACCTTTAGCCTCACACCCGGTGGGCAAGCTGGTGCTGTTTGCTCCCCCAGGTCAGCCCTCTTATCTGCCCTCATCGTGTGAGTGAGTTTAGACCCACATGCACTACCTGGTCTGCCTCTGTCAACTTCCTTGATAAGCTTCTCTAGTGGTCAATTTTCAGAGTGGGATTCTAAACTGAACAATTAATTTCTAACATTTGAGAGCCAACTGTATACAGGACAGTTAATAGCTAATACTGTTCTTATTGTTGCCTGGCACTGTTCTAAACACGTTGCGTATTATTTCATTTACCTTCCAATAACTCTTAGAGGTAGGTGCTGTTAGCATTCCCATTTACAGAAGAGAAAATAGATAAACAAAGAGGTTAAGCAACCTGCCCAAGGCTACACAGCTAGTCGGCGGTGGAGCAGGAATACCAGCCCCGTCAGTGTGGCCCTGGAGTCCACGCCTGTAACCACACAATGCTCCTGCCCCACCTGACGGGCCGCTGCTGCAGGTGAAGAAACCGACACAACACAACACAGAAGCCCTCCCTGTTCGGGGAGATCCAGAATACAGTCCTTCTGTACCAGAGTCCTAAGACTAATTTGCACAGAGGGATGCATTTGGTTTGGGCCGCATCGTGTCCCCCAGACGGGCTGGCTGTGTGTCTCATGACAGTGTGAAGCAGGGTGAGTGTTCTTCAAACACACCTTGTAGATCACTTTCACTGATCAGGTCCAGATACTTGAAGTGTGCGCACGTGTGGCATGAGTGTGCATGGGGCTCCCCATTTCTCCCAGCTCACAGGACTGTGGGTGCCTATGTCCCTTCTATGCGACATTCAGCGTTAGCCTCCTGCTGACACGGGCTCGCTTGCTTTTTCAGGACCTACCTGACTTGGAGGATATTGACACAGGCGAATCCTTGGAGGGCCAGGACAAGGTGATCACACACATTCTGCCAGTGTAATTCTGCTCTCACGTCTAGTCTTGTCATTTACAGTCCGACTCCTTAACGTGAAAGGATAATGCTCTTTGTGACGAGGCATCACACACCCCCATTTTCACCTTAGCAAAGGAAATGCTTTCTATTGCTTACTTCTTTAAGGTTTTATAAATAACCACTGGGTTTTCTTCAACAGATATTTCATCACTGGTTTTTAATAACTGTGCTGTACATAATTGCCTGACAAGAGTTTTCCATCCTTCCGTTGTATTTTTATGTCCACCTTATGAAGGTCTGTACTATAGCAACAGACAGGGCAGGACAGGAGAAGCAGGAGGGAGAAGAGTGCACGGGCCTGACGGGACTTCTCCCAAACGGCCTGCCCCTCTGACAGCCTGTGTGCCACTCAGGAGGAGGACGTCCCACACTCCCTGGGCAGGAGCATCATCACAGGAAGGAGACATATGACAACCGTCCCCGAGGGGGCCTGGGTCCAGAGGGCTGGGGTGAGGCATATGCCAGCCAGAGGCCAAGGCTCAGGGAAGGGCCGACTGAGGCCCCGGAGGGTGTTGGTGTAGCCACAACAGGGTGGGCAGGGAGAGCGGCATGGACACCCAGCACAAGGCGGAAAGGAGTGTAGACTGGGCGTCCCGCTCACATGACTTTGAGGGCTCAGAGACGGCTCGCCAAGGGGTGTCTATCCTGAGGCACAGTGCTGGGCTCCCTCAGGCCTCTTTTGTACCCAGCAACGGAGTATTTTGTGATAGAGAAAAAAAGCAGAATTAGCATTGTGCATTTCAGAATGACTTGTAAGATCAGAAATGTTCAAACACATCTTTTTTCTTTTACCAGATGTGTTTTCCAAAGATTACAGCCATCTCGAGCCTGAGTGATGACAGTGACCCTGAGCCAGACTACACCTCACTCCAGGGGCAGGAGAACACGGGCACAGACACCCTTTCAAACATATTCGCCATCTCCAAGGACACCTCACAGAAGACTGAGATGGCCTTTGCAGACATATTTAAGGCAGCAGCAAAGGATCTGGAAACTGAAGGTAGAGACACCAAGTCCCCGCGCCTGCTGATCCAGGAACTCAACGAGGACCCCTCAGGCGAGCCCCCCACCCACCAAAGGAATGCCACCCCAGCCCCTTCCAGCAAGGACAGGGACGGTGCCGGACTCCCATCCTCCCCTCCAGGTAATGCCCCCCCACCTTCAAGGTAACAGGGGCTGAAACTCTTAGACACTGGGGAAGTGAACCATTGACTGCCCAGATCCAGAGGGTAGCCAGCTGGGCCTTAGTGCCCTAAGAACTCCATGTCCTTGGACAGACCACGGAGGTGGCTGAGACCATGCTCCTAACTTTATGTCTCTAAGGCCACCGCTTGCTGGGTGTGGCCTGGGCTGCGAAGCCACAGAGCCGCCCCATTCCCAGGCGGGCAGGTCGGCATCCCCTGGGCTGCTTATGGCCACAAAGTCTCCCTCAGTGAGCCGGGAGACCCGAGTTTTCAGCCCCATCCTAGCCATCCCGATCCCTGGCCTTTCCAGACCATGGCTCCTAAGGGAGGGCGAGGACCTGATACCCCGGCTGGGAATATGGGACAAGGACCGGCTGAAGGTACGGAAACGGCTGAGGACCGAGGTGGTGCTGGTAGGAACAGTATCTAGAGCACCAGGCTGGATGGGACAAATGAAGCCAGGGGCTGACACATGGGTCAGCCAGGCACTGGGGCCCGTGAACATGGTAAGCATGACCAGGAGATGCCTAGGTAGCGAAGCTGGTTGGCGCTTCCTGGTAACAAGGGGAGCTGGGATACCTGCTCCAGCAATTGCCTGCCTTTGCCTATCTAGATTAGGGCATCTGCTGAACTTCCATGACTCCAGCTCTCATCCCACACCAGGATTCTGTCAACACCAGCTTGCGTGGCTGACTCATGGCCTGCAAGTGGGAAGAAACGAGGCCCATCACACTTCTCAAGAAACCGTTACCTTCCTTCCCCCATTTAGGAAACAGCACTGAAAAGACGGGGGTGCAGTCTGAGATGGAGCCCGAGGCGGGAGAAGACCGAGAGGACATCGCACTTGGCTTGGACTGAAGCCCAAGGTGGCACAGGGAGCCGGCAGCCGAGCCAGGCCTGATCCCAGCGGGTGCGGGCCTACCCTTTAGCTGGGCTCCCTTTCCTTCCAAAGACCTGGGGTTACTTGGTTGTCACAGGCCGGCAGGCGGCTCACCTCCCCCACCCACAGCCCCTGCAGGGGCACAGCTGGTCCCCAGGTATTGGTGGTCTGCCACCTGTAACCGCAAATGTCCCTGAGCATGATAAACACTTCAGTATCCACGAGTCCATGTGTCACTGGCTTATTCAACATCCATGAGTCACATGTGACTCATTTCATCAGGTACCCTAAGAACTATTCTTCTCTTCACGTGTGATTAGAGCTAGGGTGGGTCCTGATGTCCTGTGACATTTGGCAGAGCCTTCCAATGGAGCCACAGATATTGGAGGCAGTGAATAGCACGCATTACACATCAAAAGCTGTACATGGACACTGCCCAGTCCAAGAAACTTGATCATTCAAATCCATGCTCAGCTGACAATTTATTCAAACCCTAAATGTGGGTCCAAAACTTCAGAAACTGCTCAACCAACCAAACATCCAGCACCAGCAGTTCTCTGGGTCTCATTTCACCGTCACTGACCATGGGGAGGAGCTGGTACCGTCACTGGTGGGCTCCGGGGCCTGGCTCCTGCACCGTGCAGCCCTGTGGCCTGGCTGGAGGAAACCCAGTGACACTGGCCCCAGGACAGGACTGCCAGGGCCTTTCCAACACGTCTCCAGGCAGGATAAACCACGGGAGAAACAACTCTGTCGCTGTCCCTGCTCTGACATGGTTCTGAATCATTTCTGGGGGTCGCCTAGTCACAGCAGTCTTCAGATGGTAAAAGGTCTGACCCCTGGAGACTGTTCTCTCTTTATTTCCTAAGTTCCAGTCACGGAAGGCACAGCTGGTGCACGAGAAAGGGCTTACCGGAGGCAGGGGAGCAGCTTCCCTGGGCCCTCAGAAGCCCATGCGGGGCTTCTTCCGATGTGGCTGAGAGCCAGAGAGGACGGGCGCCCGCTGCCCGGAGCATGGGGCCCGGACGCCAGAGCTCTGGGATGAGGGCACCTCAGAGCCTCCCGGGGTGTCCCTTTGGGACAGCAGCCCAGTGGTACAGTTCCGGATGGTCCACAGCTCCTGGGTCACCTCCTGGGAGGGCAGGGTCACAGGAGGGCAAGGCCTGGCCTCAGGGGGTGTCCGGTCTGGGCTGTGAGCGGGGGTGGCGTCAGAGAGGTCAGGGCGGCTGAGTGAGGAGAAGGTACTGGACAGCAGAGTCCGGCGCTTGTGCCGCTTGGGCGGCCTCCCAGGCCCCGAGCCCCCGCCCTGCTGCCTCTCCCACCAGGCAGCTGCCCGCCCTCTCCAGGCCGCCTCCAGGCGCCCAGTGAGCATATCCTCAGGGCCTGACTCAGAGGCAGGGGGCAGCTGGGCAACAGGAAGTGAACCCAGGTCCCTCTGCCGCAGGAGCCGCCCTTGGGCCATGGCTGCACGCAGACCCTCTGGCACTCTCCCCTCAACCTTCCGCTGCTCCAAGCAGCCCAGCAGCTGGCGGTGGGAAAAGGTGGGTGCAGCCCATACAGGGGGAGCTGTGGGCACCTCCAGCAAGGCCTTCAGCCACTGGCTGCAGCAGGCTGTGTCCTGGGGGCTCCAGGAAGCCGCAGGGGCAGAGGAGTTGGGCCCATGGTTGCTGGGGGCCCCAGGGTCCGCCTGGAGGCGGAGGCGCTGGTGGAAGACATCTCCAGCTGCAGAGAGTTGGAAGAGCAACAGGGCTGGTGTGGAGGCGGAGGGTGGGATGGCAGCGGCCAGACCTGGGGGCGGGAATGGCAGTAACCTGAAGGCCTGCCCTATGGGGTACAGCCCTCCCAACTCACTCCCTGCCCCAGCGCACCTATGGCTGGGGCCTTCAGACGCTCCTGCAGCCTCCACTGGCTCTTAGGCTCCAGCAGGGGGAATGCAGAGAGGGAGTCCCTCCGGGAAGGGAGAGACTGGGGGTGTCCTGCCAGGCGGGGCGTCGAGGCCCCCTCTCCTGAGGAAGGACAGACGGCTGAGGCTCTGCCCAGCCCCAAGGCCACCCGTCTTCCCACGTGCCTCCCAGCCCGGCCAACCCTCACCTGAGATGTGAAGCAGCTGCAGCTCCCCGCCCCGGCCACTCAGAAGCAGGGGCCGTGGGCAGCCAGGCTGCGGCGCAGGCAGCAGCCGGGCCAACAGTGGGGCGGAGGGAAGGCCGTGGTTCCACTTCAGCATGGGCACCAAGGGGAGGCGCTCATCCAGCAGGTAGAGCGAGAACTGGGGGCGGGGGGCCAGGCGGCAAGATGGGGCAGACGTGACAAGGTGTGGGGCAAGAGTCTGACGAGACATGTCTCTCTGGGCGGCTCCCATAGCCCTTGCCAGCCCCAAAAGGCTCTCAGGGGGAGTGCAAACCCCTGAGCGGTCACAGCACTGGCCACCCTGACTACACCTGCAGTTACACCTGCCGAGCCCCAAAGGGCAGCATTCCAGAGCGGGTGGTACCATCACTTGTCCTGACAGCCACACTAGTAGAGGAGCCTTATCACATAGAAGCCACCCCCTGGCTTTTACCAGCCTCCCCCAAACCCACCCAACCCTGGAAGCTACACTTCAGACACACCTGGTAACACCCCAGGATCCTGGGGCCAACCCTGGGGGATCCTAACCTCCTCTTCTGCTCAACACACAAGCAACTGTCCAGTTCTGCACAGACTGCTCCCCCACCCGAACCTGTGCCAGTCCACCTTCGCCTGGTCTGTCCCTAGTGGCACCTGGAGTCCTGCTCAGACATCACCTCCCTGCCAGGCCTTTCTCACCCGCGCATCAGACCCACTAAGCCCCAGCTTCATGACTCTTGTTCTGCCTGCTGTAGTCCCAGGACGGCTCCAGTAACCGCCTGACACAGCGTGCGGGTCAGCACGCCGGCAAGGCTCACCTGGGTGCAGACGAGATGGAGCGTGGGATGCAGGGGTGCAGGGCTGCACTCCCCCAGATACTGGGTCAGTAGGATACGTTCCCCCTTTTGGCATGATGCTTCCGCTCCCACTCGGAACAGCAGCAGACCACAGCCTGGGGGCCCCTAGGGAAGAAAGGGTCAGCCCTCCCACAGTCCAAGATCAGCGGCACCATCCCCGCCAGGCTGCCGGGGCAAGTCTCCCACCCCAGCCTCATGTAGCTCTGTCCCCCTGCTGGGCCTGGGACGGTCCCACCCCTCACCTGAGTGTCAATAATCTTCACTCCGGTGCGGTCCCCCACAGTCAGCACCCGAGGGTGGGCAGTGAAGTCTGCCCAACGCCAGGGAGAAGGGTCCCGGAACACAAGGGTCTCAGGGTCCTTGTAGACTTGCCGCAGCCTTGGGGAGATATGCCAGCCATGTGTGGGGAGAGACGGGCTGATGGCGGAGCCCAGGGTGCCTAGGCCTGGGGACCAGGACACACTGCTAGGGGAGCTGTCTGGTGGGGTGGAGGGTTTCATGGGGAAGGGGCATTACCCATCCTGGGGGGTCCACAGACAGATGGCTCCTGAACGGCTACAGACAGCCAGCTCCCCAGGCAGGTGAGGGCTGCAGGGCACGAATGTGGTTAACGTTGCCACCCCCCGACCCCCGCCATGCCCAGCTCCCTACAGACCAGCCGGCTGAGCCCCCTTACCTGAGGCTGATCCCGGTGGCCCCCTTCCCAACCTGCAGCACCTGCAGAGGGGCCGGCCGCCCCTGCTTGCTGACCTTCCATACGGCACAGTGGTAGTCAGAGCGGACAGCCAGCAGAGCTGAGGGGATTGAGGGGAGGGGTGAGAGTCAGAGTCGGGCAGCAGGTCAGGCAGTGGTGGGGGGTGCCTCAGGGCCTTACATTCTTCCTGCACCGTGCGGGTCACCACCTGCCGGACAGGTCCTCGGAGCTGGATGTGGCCAGGGTCCTTGAGGACCTGGGGGTCACTGTCTGGGGTCAGAATGACCTCTTGGAAATCTGGGCCTCTCACTAAGGATGAATGCATGCACTCTGGTCACTGCAAGTTCCCCAGCTTCTTGCCCTTGCCCTGGACCATGCTGAGAGCACCTCCTGCTGCCCTGGGAAAGGATACACAGCTTGTCTAGGGCGCCTCCCGCAGGGTAGACCAGCTGCCCCACCTGAGGCGTGCTTCCAGGCACCCAGGCCAGCGCACCCCCCGTGAAGGCATCATCCAGGAGCAGCTGCTCCCACCGCAGGGCCAGCTCCTCGTGCAGCAGCTCTCCCAGGAGCTGCGCCACGGACGTGCCCAGGATCGGGCCCCCAAGGATGGAGAACCGGCGTTGTCGGTAGCTGAGGTAAGCCCAGGGACACCTGGGGACGAGAGGACAGCAGGAGGGTCAGGTCGCAGCAGTGACAGAGGCCCAGACAGCCACCCAAGGCAGGCCAGGCCAGGCCAGGTATTTTTATCACCCTAGAATGTCTTCCTTTGGGAGACCAATCTATCCGACTCCCTGTGCTGCAGAGCAGTCACACGGCCCAGACCTGGGCACCCGGCTCATCCCATCACGCCGGCCGCAGTGGGCTGCGAAGCCACAGAGCCGCCCCATTCCCAGGCGGGCAGGTCGGCATCCCCTGGGCTGCTTATGGCCACAAAGTCTCCCTCAGTGAGCCGGGAGACCCGAGTTTTCAGCCCCATCCTAGCCATCCCGATCCCTGGCCTTTCCAGACCATGGCTCCTAAGGGAGGGCGAGGACCTGATACCCCGGCTGGGAATATGGGACAAGGACCGGCTGAAGGTACGGAAACGGCTGAGGACCGAGGTGGTGCTGGTAGGAACAGTATCTAGAGCACCAGGCTGGATGGGACAAATGAAGCCAGGGGCTGACACATGGGTCAGCCAGGCACTGGGGCCCGTGAACATGGTAAGCATGACCAGGAGATGCCTAGGTAGCGAAGCTGGTTGGCGCTTCCTGGTAACAAGGGGAGCTGGGATACCTGCTCCAGCAATTGCCTGCCTTTGCCTATCTAGATTAGGGCATCTGCTGAACTTCCATGACTCCAGCTCTCATCCCACACCAGGATTCTGTCAACACCAGCTTGCGTGGCTGACTCATGGCCTGCAAGTGGGAAGAAACGAGGCCCATCACACTTCTCAAGAAACCGTTACCTTCCTTCCCCCATTTAGGAAACAGCACTGAAAAGACGGGGGTGCAGTCTGAGATGGAGCCCGAGGCGGGAGAAGACCGAGAGGACATCGCACTTGGCTTGGACTGAAGCCCAAGGTGGCACAGGGAGCCGGCAGCCGAGCCAGGCCTGATCCCAGCGGGTGCGGGCCTACCCTTTAGCTGGGCTCCCTTTCCTTCCAAAGACCTGGGGTTACTTGGTTGTCACAGGCCGGCAGGCGGCTCACCTCCCCCACCCACAGCCCCTGCAGGGGCACAGCTGGTCCCCAGGTATTGGTGGTCTGCCACCTGTAACCGCAAATGTCCCTGAGCATGATAAACACTTCAGTATCCACGAGTCCATGTGTCACTGGCTTATTCAACATCCATGAGTCACATGTGACTCATTTCATCAGGTACCCTAAGAACTATTCTTCTCTTCACGTGTGATTAGAGCTAGGGTGGGTCCTGATGTCCTGTGACATTTGGCAGAGCCTTCCAATGGAGCCACAGATATTGGAGGCAGTGAATAGCACGCATTACACATCAAAAGCTGTACATGGACACTGCCCAGTCCAAGAAACTTGATCATTCAAATCCATGCTCAGCTGACAATTTATTCAAACCCTAAATGTGGGTCCAAAACTTCAGAAACTGCTCAACCAACCAAACATCCAGCACCAGCAGTTCTCTGGGTCTCATTTCACCGTCACTGACCATGGGGAGGAGCTGGTACCGTCACTGGTGGGCTCCGGGGCCTGGCTCCTGCACCGTGCAGCCCTGTGGCCTGGCTGGAGGAAACCCAGTGACACTGGCCCCAGGACAGGACTGCCAGGGCCTTTCCAACACGTCTCCAGGCAGGATAAACCACGGGAGAAACAACTCTGTCGCTGTCCCTGCTCTGACATGGTTCTGAATCATTTCTGGGGGTCGCCTAGTCACAGCAGTCTTCAGATGGTAAAAGGTCTGACCCCTGGAGACTGTTCTCTCTTTATTTCCTAAGTTCCAGTCACGGAAGGCACAGCTGGTGCACGAGAAAGGGCTTACCGGAGGCAGGGGAGCAGCTTCCCTGGGCCCTCAGAAGCCCATGCGGGGCTTCTTCCGATGTGGCTGAGAGCCAGAGAGGACGGGCGCCCGCTGCCCGGAGCATGGGGCCCGGACGCCAGAGCTCTGGGATGAGGGCACCTCAGAGCCTCCCGGGGTGTCCCTTTGGGACAGCAGCCCAGTGGTACAGTTCCGGATGGTCCACAGCTCCTGGGTCACCTCCTGGGAGGGCAGGGTCACAGGAGGGCAAGGCCTGGCCTCAGGGGGTGTCCGGTCTGGGCTGTGAGCGGGGGTGGCGTCAGAGAGGTCAGGGCGGCTGAGTGAGGAGAAGGTACTGGACAGCAGAGTCCGGCGCTTGTGCCGCTTGGGCGGCCTCCCAGGCCCCGAGCCCCCGCCCTGCTGCCTCTCCCACCAGGCAGCTGCCCGCCCTCTCCAGGCCGCCTCCAGGCGCCCAGTGAGCATATCCTCAGGGCCTGACTCAGAGGCAGGGGGCAGCTGGGCAACAGGAAGTGAACCCAGGTCCCTCTGCCGCAGGAGCCGCCCTTGGGCCATGGCTGCACGCAGACCCTCTGGCACTCTCCCCTCAACCTTCCGCTGCTCCAAGCAGCCCAGCAGCTGGCGGTGGGAAAAGGTGGGTGCAGCCCATACAGGGGGAGCTGTGGGCACCTCCAGCAAGGCCTTCAGCCACTGGCTGCAGCAGGCTGTGTCCTGGGGGCTCCAGGAAGCCGCAGGGGCAGAGGAGTTGGGCCCATGGTTGCTGGGGGCCCCAGGGTCCGCCTGGAGGCGGAGGCGCTGGTGGAAGACATCTCCAGCTGCAGAGAGTTGGAAGAGCAACAGGGCTGGTGTGGAGGCGGAGGGTGGGATGGCAGCGGCCAGACCTGGGGGCGGGAATGGCAGTAACCTGAAGGCCTGCCCTATGGGGTACAGCCCTCCCAACTCACTCCCTGCCCCAGCGCACCTATGGCTGGGGCCTTCAGACGCTCCTGCAGCCTCCACTGGCTCTTAGGCTCCAGCAGGGGGAATGCAGAGAGGGAGTCCCTCCGGGAAGGGAGAGACTGGGGGTGTCCTGCCAGGCGGGGCGTCGAGGCCCCCTCTCCTGAGGAAGGACAGACGGCTGAGGCTCTGCCCAGCCCCAAGGCCACCCGTCTTCCCACGTGCCTCCCAGCCCGGCCAACCCTCACCTGAGATGTGAAGCAGCTGCAGCTCCCCGCCCCGGCCACTCAGAAGCAGGGGCCGTGGGCAGCCAGGCTGCGGCGCAGGCAGCAGCCGGGCCAACAGTGGGGCGGAGGGAAGGCCGTGGTTCCACTTCAGCATGGGCACCAAGGGGAGGCGCTCATCCAGCAGGTAGAGCGAGAACTGGGGGCGGGGGGCCAGGCGGCAAGATGGGGCAGACGTGACAAGGTGTGGGGCAAGAGTCTGACGAGACATGTCTCTCTGGGCGGCTCCCATAGCCCTTGCCAGCCCCAAAAGGCTCTCAGGGGGAGTGCAAACCCCTGAGCGGTCACAGCACTGGCCACCCTGACTACACCTGCAGTTACACCTGCCGAGCCCCAAAGGGCAGCATTCCAGAGCGGGTGGTACCATCACTTGTCCTGACAGCCACACTAGTAGAGGAGCCTTATCACATAGAAGCCACCCCCTGGCTTTTACCAGCCTCCCCCAAACCCACCCAACCCTGGAAGCTACACTTCAGACACACCTGGTAACACCCCAGGATCCTGGGGCCAACCCTGGGGGATCCTAACCTCCTCTTCTGCTCAACACACAAGCAACTGTCCAGTTCTGCACAGACTGCTCCCCCACCCGAACCTGTGCCAGTCCACCTTCGCCTGGTCTGTCCCTAGTGGCACCTGGAGTCCTGCTCAGACATCACCTCCCTGCCAGGCCTTTCTCACCCGCGCGTCAGACCCACTAAGCCCCAGCTTCATGACTCTTGTTCTGCCTGCTGTAGTCCCAGGACGGCTCCAGTAACCGCCTGACACAGCGTGCGGGTCAGCACGCCGGCAAGGCTCACCTGGGTGCAGACGAGATGGAGCGTGGGATGCAGGGGTGCAGGGCTGCACTCCCCCAGATACTGGGTCAGTAGGATACGTTCCCCCTTTTGGCATGATGCTTCCGCTCCCACTCGGAACAGCAGCAGACCACAGCCTGGGGGCCCCTAGGGAAGAAAGGGTCAGCCCTCCCACAGTCCAAGATCAGCGGCACCATCCCCGCCAGGCTGCCGGGGCAAGTCTCCCACCCCAGCCTCATGTAGCTCTGTCCCCCTGCTGGGCCTGGGACGGTCCCACCCCTCACCTGAGTGTCAATAATCTTCACTCCGGTGCGGTCCCCCACAGTCAGCACCCGAGGGTGGGCAGTGAAGTCTGCCCAACGCCAGGGAGAAGGGTCCCGGAACACAAGGGTCTCAGGGTCCTTGTAGACTTGCCGCAGCCTTGGGGAGATATGCCAGCCATGTGTGGGGAGAGACGGGCTGATGGCGGAGCCCAGGGTGCCTAGGCCTGGGGACCAGGACACACTGCTAGGGGAGCTGTCTGGTGGGGTGGAGGGTTTCATGGGGAAGGGGCATTACCCATCCTGGGGGGTCCACAGACAGATGGCTCCTGAACGGCTACAGACAGCCAGCTCCCCAGGCAGGTGAGGGCTGCAGGGCACGAATGTGGTTAACGTTGCCACCCCCCGACCCCCGCCATGCCCAGCTCCCTACAGACCAGCCGGCTGAGCCCCCTTACCTGAGGCTGATCCCGGTGGCCCCCTTCCCAACCTGCAGCACCTGCAGAGGGGCCGGCCGCCCCTGCTTGCTGACCTTCCATACGGCACAGTGGTAGTCAGAGCGGACAGCCAGCAGAGCTGAGGGGATTGAGGGGAGGGGTGAGAGTCAGAGTCGGGCAGCAGGTCAGGCAGTGGTGGGGGGTGCCTCAGGGCCTTACATTCTTCCTGCACCGTGCGGGTCACCACCTGCCGGACAGGTCCTCGGAGCTGGATGTGGCCAGGGTCCTTGAGGACCTGGGGGTCACTGTCTGGGGTCAGAATGACCTCTTGGAAATCTGGGCCTCTCACTAAGGATGAATGCATGCACTCTGGTCACTGCAAGTTCCCCAGCTTCTTGCCCTTGCCCTGGACCATGCTGAGAGCACCTCCTGCTGCCCTGGGAAAGGATACACAGCTTGTCTAGGGCGCCTCCCGCAGGGTAGACCAGCTGCCCCACCTGAGGCGTGCTTCCAGGCACCCAGGCCAGCGCACCCCCCGTGAAGGCATCATCCAGGAGCAGCTGCTCCCACCGCAGGGCCAGCTCCTCGTGCAGCAGCTCTCCCAGGAGCTGCGCCACGGACGTGCCCAGGATCGGGCCCCCAAGGATGGAGAACCGGCGTTGTCGGTAGCTGAGGTAAGCCCAGGGACACCTGGGGACGAGAGGACAGCAGGAGGGTCAGGTCGCAGCAGTGACAGAGGCCCAGACAGCCACCCAAGGCAGGCCAGGCCAGGCCAGGTATTTTTATCACCCTAGAATGTCTTCCTTTGGGAGACCAATCTATCCGACTCCCTGTGCTGCAGAGCAGTCACACGGCCCAGACCTGGGCACCCGGCGCATCCCATCACGCCGGCCGCAGAGCACGACACCCAAGCCATATCACACTGACCCCTCCCAGGACTTGTGCTGGTGCCTCGGGAGACACACTGGCTCTTCCCTTGAAATCATAAGCCACCTTGCTGCCACTTGGAAACTGTCTAGGAACTAAGCCAGGCAAAGCCAAACAGATGAGAAAATAAAGAGAGAAAGAGCCCTACTAACATTATTTGACTCCTGGATGCAGCCGTGCCTGCAATCCGTCAATTCAAACTCCCCTTTCCCCTCAGAGTTGAGAGTTTTACATAGGGAAGTATGGCCCATGGCTGCACGTGGCAGAAGCGATTGTTATGGAAACCTAGATCTGTGCCCCGGATCCTTCCGCATGCCCACCACCAGCTAGGCCTCCCCATCTCGTGCTTTCTCACTAGCCACTTGCCCCCAAGGCTGGTGTCCACCGAGGTCCTGGAGTATCCCCTTCACACTGACCACGGTCTTCGTCTTAGAGCGGCTCTGTGTGGAAAGGCCTGGTCAGGCTCCCACACCCCAGGTCTCACCCCAACATGACGCGCAGAGCGCCCTCCCCTGACAGGCCGGGTTACTCACCGGGGCTCCCTCCATTTTGAAATTCTCCAGCATCAGCTTCCCCAGGGGTGCAAAGGCTATGTCCCCATGGTCCCATAGGAACCGGCTGAGCTGCAGGAGGAGAGGAGGTAAGGTCACTCGGTACAGGCTCGGCCACACAAGCATGCCCCGTCGTGGGGCCACTCACCTGCTCTGTCACATCCAGCACGACCTGGGGCTGTTTTCGGAACTGCAGACCTCCCCGGAAAACCAGGTCCCGGGCAGTCATGCCGGGGTCCCAGGGATCTGAGGGGAGGGGAGGCCGAGGAAGGGGTCTGTGCCAGGGACGGGGAAGGCCCCGGAAGTGAGGCCAGGTGTCGTCCCAGGTGACTGGAGGTCATCAACAGGGAGAGGGAAGGTCTCAGGACTGGGGGTAGGGTAGAGAGGCCACAAGGGGAGCAGCCTGGGAGGCGGCCCGAGGCCCGGAGCCCTTACCTGGACCGGGATGCAGCAAGGGAAGGGGCCCAGGGGTCTCTGGCTCCCAGAGCAGGTCCTTGGCCGAGTGTGGCACCCCACTCTGAGGAAACAACACAGTGAGCACTATGCCAGGCCAGGCACTGTTGCTGGCACCTGTTTTTTGATAACCCATTCAATCCTCACAACAGGCCCGCTAAGTCAGTATGATGGTCATCGGCCCCCTACTGGTGAAGGGATGGAGGTACAGGCAGGCGGCCACTTGCCCCAGGGGACAGCCAATCAAGAGAAGGCTGGGATTTAGACCCAACAGCCAGATTCCAGGCTGGGGGCCTCGGACCTCCAGGAAGCACTGGCTCTCAGGAGGCCCGCTGGGGCCATCACTGGCCACCCTGAATCCCACCTGGGAGACTGTGGTCACTAACTCAGGGAGTCAATTGACCCCGCACCACTCTCCTGAGCTAGGCTGGCCTGAGACAACTCAGCTCCAACACTCAGGGGACAGAAGAGCCATCAAGCTAGGCTCCCAGAAAGGGCTGATTTGACATTACACCCCTCCTTGTCAGAGAAGCCCTTGCTCCCAGAGCTGTCCTCCATTTCCTCGCCCACCTGCATCTGCCTCGCAGATCCTTAGCCAGCCTGTCTTCGAGTGGCAGCCAGAGGCTCGGGCATCCAGAGACCAGCCAGAGTTCCTCCTGTCCTGAGGTCTCCCTCCCCTCCCGCTGCCCCTCCAACCCTGCTGTGCTGTTCCGGCATGCTCTGCTTCTGCTCAAAACTACTATCACACCTTGGGATGGTTTTTCCTTTGCTCCATTGGCTTGCCTGTTCTCACTCACCCTAGGTCTGCGGCCCAGGGGGCAGGGATCACACCTGACCTACCACACTGGGTTCCCAGGGCCTGATAAGCACCTGGCACATCGCAGGGGTGATCGTGTTCACTGAACACAGAGGAAGGATGGGGCGGGGGGGAGGGAGGGGAGAGAGAGCTGGCCATTCCTGCTCAGTCTTTCCTCTGTGGCAGGTAGGCATCCCCTGTACTCCACAGCCAGCTAGCATTCTGCCTCAGCCTGTCTTAGCAGATTCGTGCTACTGCCACCCCACCCCGTACTCCTGCCAACTGATGTGAATGCTATGAAAAGAGAGCCAGTGAAGGAGCCACTGCCAAGCTCTCCCCACCATCCTCACCTCCGAGATCTGGGGCAGGGGCTCTGGCAGGGTCAGCATGTCTCTCCAGCTGCACATGAAGGACATGTCAGGGACATCACTCTGACCAAGTGGGCCGGTCGTAAACAGTGTGGGGCAGAGGATGCTGGGAAAGTCCATCCTAGAAGACAAGAACCACATGTCACACTCCACCTCAGAGACATGAATCTGAGAAGTTTCCCGGGTTCCTGGAGAGTGAAGAGTGCCCAAGGGGGGGCATATTCTCTTCGAGAAACCAGATAGTAAAGAGCAAATGAATACTAGCTTACTGCCAGATAGTAGTAGGTGCTACATGAAAACCAACCAACCAACCAACCATGAGGGAGGGGACAGCGATGGGCCAGGGTGTAGCTTTAGCAGTGGTAGCCAGGGAAAGCTTCATCAAGACAGTGGCATTAGGCACAGCCTGACAGAGCCATGCACACAACTGAAAAGAGGGATCCTGGCAAAATGAGCAACAAGTACAAAAGTCCTGGGGCAGGAAAGTATGTGAGTCACAACCAGCAGGCTCCACAATGAATGAGGAAGAGAGTGGTAGGGGACGAAGTCAGACAGTGGTAAGGGGTCACCTGTGTATTATCACACATTTATAGACTATGCGCTGCACCCCAGGATACAATCCCAAAACCAACTCAAGTACTTCCAAAGCCAGGGACTGAGTCTTACTCATCTGTCTTCCTACTGTCCAGTACGGTATCTTTCAGAATATGCAAGTGAATGTGTGTTGAGTAACAATAAATTAATGTCAAAGGGCTTTTCTGAATACAAAATGCTCTAGAAGATTAAATGGCCATATAATCCCTCTTTTTTAATTAACTGCAAAAAAAATAGCAGCACTTACTGAGCACCAGGATCTGCCAGATAGGGCACTACATGTTCTACTCTTCCGCTGCCCCTCTTTTAGAGTTCAGAAAACAGACCCAGGAAAGAGCAACTTGCCCAAAGCCAACAGCTTGAGCCTCCATCCAATCAAAGTGCAAGTTCTGAACCACCACTCCCCTGTGCATCCAAAAGCAAACACCAGCATTATAGTCTTAGTAACAAAAATCTTTTCCCTTGGATTTTCAGTTAATTCTGTGACCTCTGTATAGCCATGAACCCTCAGCACCACGCAATGTCCATCACACAATAAAGGCCAGTAAATACTTGTCGAAAGAATGAATATGTTTCTCATGGCATGTCAGCCTAGCTCTAATTGTGGTTTATATGTAGCTGATAGCTCTCCCAGGGTAGGGGCTGTTTGATTTATCCTTGAGTTCCTGGTGTCAGACGGCTGCTGTCATTCCCTTTTTTGTCACAGGAGAGGGCAGTGGCAGGAGCCAAGGAGATGCTCAGTAATCCTTGTGAAAAACACTAGCTTCTGCCAGACTGTCCAGATTGCAGTTAAGGAGCACCTAAGCCTCCCAGATGTGGCTGCATTTCTGTTAACCAGCAGGCCACGTGAGCACGCACACATCTCCAGCTTACCTTCTGTGCCTGAGCTTCAAATGCACTGACTCCTTTGGGTTCTTCCTCACCAGATTCTTTCCACTGAGGGAACTTTGCACACTCTCTCTCCACTTAGAACCATCTCTGGCGGCCTTCCTCCCCACTTGTACAATCCTACTCAGTCTTCAGATTTCAAGGCAGGAAGCTGCTCCTAGTTCTTCCACACCACTTCGAATCCTTCCTCCAGGGCAGGCATTGCAATGTATGATTAGATATTTAAAGATGAAGGTGTGTGATTCAAAATTGCTCTAACAGTCCTCATGGGAAAGGGACTTAATTTTATCTCTAGTACCTTGCTATTTGCTACATGGTACCAATTAGCCCATATAAGACGAAAGAACAAGTCCAGAAAATGAATGAATGAGAAAAAGGGAATCAAACAGCCTCAAACAAGCACAGGCAGGCAGAGGGCACTGGTGGAGCCCACGACCTCAGAAAAGCCCCTAGACAAGGCAACCTCAACTTCCCGCCTCACCCTGGCTCTCCAGGGCCCTTCAGACCTCCAAGGCTGTAGAAATCAGTTGGGTCTGCATTAATGCCAGGCCGGGCACAGCGGAGCCTGACAGGGGACGGGAAGAAGGGATCCGGACGGTTCCCCGTACAGCTCCCCGCCCGGTCCTCCCCACCCACCTCTTCTCACTCCACCTCCGGGACCCCGAATTTAGCCCGACAGCGGAGGCCTCGCATGAGGTGCTGTGTGCTGGGCAGCGGCAGCCTCACTTTACATCTGTGGGATCCCCACCCCTCCGTCAGCTTGAGACAGGGACTGTGGATGTAGTCAGAGTAGGGTGAGGGCCTCTGGAGGGGGCAGGGCAGGATATTTGCAGCCAGAACAATGTAACTACACGCAAGGAAACCCCCCTGCTAAAACTCTATGTTAAACATTGAGCTCTAGAATCATTCTTCAGTGAAATCAGTTAATGTTCCTCAGATAAAGAGGAGTAGCACATGCTTTATTATGCTGACCATTTATAATCATGTGTAAGGTTCTCTTTAGCCCAGGCCTCTGCGCTGTCTTTCCTCCTTCAGATCTGATGAAGTGATTTTGCAAACTGAGCAACTACTTTAGCAAGTAAGCCCAGGCATAAACAACACAGTAAAAGGCAGGAAGGATTCCACCTTAAAGACAAGATTGCATTTTAATACCCAAGAAATTAAGACGTTAAAAATTCTTAACTTACTCTTTAGCAAACAATACCTCAGCCCACCTTGGGGGCTGAGCAGGTGGCCTTGTTTCATATGCCTCCAGACCAAGATGCTGGTATCTCAGAAGTTGCTTGTGTTAAGTTAATTCTAAATATTCAGGGACCACTTAACAAGTCCACACCCCTAAGATTTTTCATGTTCTTGAAAAATCCTCAGCTGCCTAGAAAACCCCCTAGACAACGCACCACTACGGGCTCTCTTGTCCCCTCCTGGCGTGAGCCAGGAGCTCCATTCTCTCACTTTATTTCTAAATAAAAGCCTGTACCTTGCTCTCCTACCTTGACTGTTTGTGAAGCTCATTCTTCGGCTCCGCAAACAAGAACCCCGGCATCAAGCTCAGAGCTAATAACCCACTCTGTACACGCTGGAAGGCTTACCCCACAGCTGCACAGCACGCGGCGCGCGGACCCGCGAGGGGCAACCCCGAGCTCTCCCCCAGCCCCGGCGGCGCGCACTTACGTGGCCCGAGCCTCGCCGTGCCCTTCCGGGATTTGGACCTCAACACGACGCTCCGCCCGACCCTCGAACCACGAGGGAGCCCCAAGGTAGCACCCGGGATCCGGCGCCGGGAACGAGACAGACCCGCAACAGCTACTACCCGGCTTCCAGGTCGGGCAGGAAGTGCTCCCTCGAAGGCAGGAAGTTCCGCCTCCCAGCCTGGCCTCCCGGGCCCCCCACAGCGCCACCTGCCGGGCGGAGGGGCAATGGGAGTGAGGCGGCGCCGTGGGCGGTAAAGTTAGATCCAGGCACAGTAGTGAAGGCTAGGTTGAGAGGGGTGCGAAACCCACCTCTGCTTAACTAACTTCCTATTTCACAGGATTGTTGTAATAAATTAATTCACTCAACAAACACTGAGCACATACTATGAGCCAGGCACTGTATTAGTCGGTAGAAATGCTACTGATTGCTCTTATATCCTATGAAGCGGGCTTTATAAATGGGGTTCAGGTACCCCTGGGAGTGTAGGAGGCTTTTCCAGTGATCCGGCAAGTATAGTTTTAGGCATCAGTTAACTCAAATTCCATCGTGAATCAGCATCATCTGGAAGGCATGTTAAAATAGAGAGTTTCTCATTCAGTGAGTCTGGGGTGGGCCTGATAATTTGCACACCTAAATTCCCAGATTCCCTGATTCTGCTTGCCTGGGGGCCACGCTTTAAGAACTACTGCGCAGTCATAAATCTTACAATTTCTTTAACCCAGTAGCTCTCCGGCTTGAGTGTGCATCAGGAAACCCCGGGAGGCTTGCTACAACAGTTTGCTGGGCCCCGCCCCCAGGGTTTCTGGGGCAGTAGCTCTGGGATATGATCCAAGAATTTGCATTTCTAATGGACTCCCAGGTGATGCTGATGCTGGTGGTCCAATCACCACAGTTGGAGAACCATTACTTGAAAGAGTACATCTCCCAATTCTTAGCTTCCATCTATACTGTTTTTATCTGGGAGGTCCCTGGAATCTAATGGTTCTTCCAACATCTCCCCCATCCACAATTGCTTTCTCCCCCACTGTGGAGTATTTCCTAAGACGGGTGTTGAACAAGGAGTGATTCCGAAAACCGGAGTTCCTGCAGAAGACAGTCCCTTTAAAGCTAAGAAAAACATGCTCAATAAAAAATATCGATGGAGGGGTACAGAAGGGGGGGCTTTTGGGGGCTGGCGGTACTATGTTCATCTGAGTGCTGGTTATGTGGGGGTGTGCAGTGTGAATGCTCATCAAATGAGCTGTCTGCTTCTCTGTATGTATGTTATACTTCAATAAAGATCCTTTTTTTGAAAAAAAGAAGAAAATACTGCTAGCTGGGGCACTTTATCTCACTAAGACTTCAACCTCTCAGGCTACATGCCTTCTCAGCTATCTTAGAAATAGAATTCAGTAGTCACTCTAGGAGGGCAGAAATTCTTCTGCCTGTGTCATATCCCCAACAACTGGAGGAGTAGATGCTTACTAAATATTTTAATCAATGAAACGGAATAAAACGAGATGTCTTCTGAGAAAATAACACATTTATTGATATTGAAAAAAATTTTCAATTCTGTTTCAGATTGTTTTGAGAGGAAGTAATTCTCTTTTGGCTGAGTGGTTTGATTAAGAGGACGCTTGGATCATTTGGAGCAAGTTTTTCATAAATGGAATGTGCTAGGTCTGCATCTCCATGGTTTTGGTGAAAATATATTGGAAAGGTTATTTAATCTGTAATAAATTTCACCTTTTGTTAACTATTTCAGCTTGTGACTTAAAAAATTGGGGATACTTAGTTTTTAAGCATTATTTTCAGATTATGTATGCAAAAAATTAAATGCCATTTATCTTAGTTTCCTATTGTGGCTGTAACACATTACCACAAATTTAGTGGCTTAGGACAGCACAATATTGTACAGTCTTGAGCTCAGAAGCCTGACATGGGTCTCACTCAGTAAAAATCAAGGTGTCAGCAGGGCTGTGTTCCTTTCTGGAGTCTCCAAAGGAGAATCCAGTTTTTTGCCTTTTCTAGCTAGCTTCTGAAAGCCACCTATATCCCTTAGTTCACGGCTCCTTCAATCTTTAAAGGCAGCAGCTGCCAGTTGAGTCTCTCTCAAAATGCCACCTCTCTGATCCTGACTCTGTCTCCCTCTTCCCATCGAAGAACACTTATGATTACACTGGGCCCACCCAGAGAATCCAAGATAATCTGCCTGTCTAAAACTCAGCTGATTAGAAATCTAAATTCCGTCTGCAATCATAATTCCCCCCTGACATATGATGTAACATAGTCATAGGCTCTGGGAATCAGGACACAGATATCTTTGGGAGACGATTATTTTGCTTACCACACCACAGTTCTACATCCCCATTATGAGAAACCCACTAAGCTTCTGCACTGGAAGGTCAATTCCCTTTCTTCTTTCTTCTAAACAAACTGTTCTGTTTCCTTTTGTTACTGACATAGACTTAACATGCCGTAAGGCACCCAAGTCTTAGCATACAGCTCCTCAAATTTTTACATACATGTATACCCACATAAATAACCATGACTCAGATCAAGACAACATTTCCATTACTCCTGAAAATTCCCTGGTGCCGCTTCCCCATCAATACTCCCCTTCAAGAAGTAACCACGATTCTGACTCTTATCAGCACAGATTAATTCTACCAGGTGAAGAAATTTGTATAAATAGAATCATACAGAAGTTACTCTTTTTAGTCTGGCATCTATCATTCAACATGCCTATCATTCCTATGAGATTCAGCCACATTATGCATGTATAACAGCAGTTTGTTTTTTTCCACTGAGTGATAATCCACTGTATGAATTTATCACCATTTATTCATGCCATTTTCTGTCCGTGACATCCTGGAATTGGCGATTCTGTTCACCTCTTTCTGTGGATATGTGCAGCCATCATTCCATTTCTGCACACCTGTTGTGCAGTTCCTTCTACCTACCAGGCCAAATTCTGCTCTCCTAACCACACCCAGAATTGCTCTTTCTGATGTTAATCCTTGAAACGTTTGGGAGGTTTAATCTACCCTGACCCCGCACACATCTTCTCTTTCAACCTCTTAGTTCCACCAGCTGCTCTTCCTGTGCCCCCGCATCCACTCTGGTGCCATCCTGGTCAGCACTATCAGACCCAGAGGCAGCAATAATTAGCAGCAGCAGCAGCAGCAATGGCAACGAATTTCACACACTGTGAATTCTGTGATTGGTCGTATTTTCTGTTCACCAGTTCCTATAAGGCTTAGTCAAATATGCAGCCCCCTTCAAGCAATTATCTGTTGAATTACCTTTGGCCTCATACTAGGCCAGTATCTAAATTGTCTTCATGTCTAACTTCATCATATTTTCCTTCGTCTCCAGTCCTTCATCTTAGAGAATTGCTGGTTTTTGGGTTTTTTTGAGCCAACTTAAAATCCCATTTGGGAAAAAAAGGGGGAATGGGGGGCTGTCAAATAGTTAATTTTGGCCAGAGAGCATTCCTGGTTGGCTTTATAAAAACTACAGTGAACAGTTTTTAAATGTCGATCCTCAAGATGCTGCGGGGCTGCTTCAATTGACAACACCTTCATTTATGGTATGAGGACCCCAGACTCAGCTGTGTGGTTGGGGGCAGGCTGGTGTGACAGGTGTGGCTTGGGGCATCCTAGGGTAGGAGCAGGGCAAGGCACTCAATCTGGAACCCTACATCCCTTCCCTGGTCTTCATTTTCCTAGGACCACCAAAGGCTGACAGGAGGACCTCCTTTCCGGGTCCCCAGCATCACACCCAAAATTCCACGCAGAAAGTGTGATGTTGGCCAGGTGACCACTTAACCCATCCTCTACATCCGGCCACTGCTGTCCAAGAGACTAGCCTTCCCATTGGCTGGGTGCACTGTCCGCCACTGCTCTCTGGGCTCTCATTGGCCAGCGGTGAGGTGGGGCGGAGCTCACCATGCGCCGTCTGCAGAGCCTCGTGCTTCTCCAGCAAAGCCAGACCAGTGCGTGTAAAAGGTCACGGGTGGCGCGACATCAGGGCCCATTCCCCCCTGTTGCCCGCATCCCGCCATGGCTTCGCTGGCCAGCACGGTCCCAGGCGCGGATGACAGTGGCCGTAGGAAGCCCCGCCTGGCGGCTTCTTTGCAAATCAGCCCCGGGCCCAGACCCTGGCGGCCTTCGGCCGGCCTGGGCCAAGATCCCTGGGAGCCGGAGTCTGCACCAGCCCCCAGCGCGGAAGACGATGAGGCGGGCGGGCAGCCCCAGGCCTCGTTGGCGAGGGACGGTGGGCCTGGGGCAGGGCCCGGAGTCGGGGAACTGGGGGCGGCCCTAGAGCAGGAAGACTCCGTGGAGGGGATAGGGAGGTCCCCGAGGGTCTCTGTCCTGCCCGCGGGGCCCTCCGGGGACTTCCTGACGGCGGCCAGACAGCTGGGCCTGCAGCTCAAAGACCCGCCGCCCGGCCAGGCTGTGGCCTTGCTCACGCAGTATGCGGTTAGTCTGGGCATCTCGCTGATCTTCAGAGAGGACCACACGGCAGGTGAGGCCTGGGGCCCTGGGACGGCAGAGCTCCCCCCGCTTACCCCAGGTGAAGCAGGGGGACCGTGGGCTGGGCGTGACCCTCGGGCTGAGACAGACCCTCGCTACACCAGACATCTAACTGTGCCAGGGTCATGGCAGGGTGAACACTATCTCCAGCTTGGGGGAATTTAAAGGACATGCCCCCAGGCTACCCAGCCTTTCAGTAAGTTTATTTCAGGTCCAGTTATATGCAATTACAGTTGCCTTGCCAGCATTGGAGATACCTGAGTGAGGACCAGCCTGTCTTAAAAGACACTGTCAAACACAGTTTAATAATAACAACAGGGCATAGAGGTGTGGTGATTACCATGTTCTTTCCTCTTCCTCAGCACATCCGTCCCACCCCTGGGCTCAGACAGACACAGACATACAGAGCCATACACCAGGTCCAAAATGTAGGTTCCCAGCTGTAAGCCTTCCCAGTTTCTAAGGAGATAGCACGAGAATTATTCCTCCATCTGTTGGGAGCATTTGTAAAACTACCTAAGAGAACCCCAAATGAACAGCTCAGAAAGAAAGAATGTATTAAAAATGTACCTGGGATTTATTTTAATCAGGTATGGTAAGACAGCAGACATAG